GCCCAAAGGACTGTTTGCATGACAGAACAAGGCAGGATTTCTCCCTAAGGGGGATCTTGCTGTGCACAACCTCTAAATGCGCAAAGCTTTTTAGTATCAAGCGGGCTTCATTATGGGAAATTAATGGTGAAACCAGGCTGTGCCATAACTATAAAGTCTATAAGCCCAGCTCTGACTAGCATCGTTCCAGAGCTGCTGGGTATGTCTGTACCCTTTACAGCCACCGATTCCCATAGCAGCACTAGAGCTACGTGTGGTGTTGACAATACTGCAAGTATCCTCCCTTGGAGCAGACCAAAGGCATGGTCTACGTGTGTGCAGAGCCAGGTGAAATGTGATCTGGTTCTCCTGAAGGAAGAAGGAGTTTGAGAGGTTTGTGGTGGGCCCCGTGGCACAAAGGTACCTCTGGCACAGGAGGATGGTGGATGCATCCTTCCTGCTGCACGGCAAAGAGGGGACAAAATGGAAACTGTAATGTGAAAAATAGACAAGTTTTGTGGGAGTTTTATGTTCTGTTTTAAAGGAGTGTCACCCACTGTGCTGCTGCTGCTGTTTCGAGCTTCTAAAGTTAATTGTTAGAGGAGAACAGGGAATATAGACTGGACTTCAGGGTCAGTGATTATTCTCCATACAAAAGCTGTGGTCCTTTGTCCCACCAGCAGGACCTGGCCAGCAAATCACCCTTTCCATGCTGCAGAGGATCTGGATCTCCGTCTCCTGCTGTCCTTCCCCTCTGCTTCCAGTGGGAAGCCAGGAAAGGTTGGGTGCCCTGGGGGCCAGGGGGATAGCATTTCAGCATGCTTTTCCAGCTCTTCACTGTTGGGGGGCTGCCAAGGACACAAGTTTTTGGAGCAAACTGAAAGAAGAAAGATGCTGTCGTGCTCACTGCCTTCCTCCTCCTTACTACCACTGCTAGGGACAAGTGGTGCTTCTCCCTTCAGAAATGCCCCGATTGCAAATTGAATGGCCTCTACTGCAGCCAGGTCTTCTTAAGCTGATTCTTTCCCTTACTTCTGGTGTGGCATAGAAAGGCAATAATTCCTTGGTGCGTGGGCGGTGGGTGCTAAATGTGACCTGGGGCGTGCATCTTCCCTGTGCTGTCTTTGCAAGGACAGCCGTGCCTCGCGTTGCAATTCCCCTTCATGTTTTTTGTTTCCTTCGGCTGTGTGCTGCACGGATGGATGTTTCCCGAAGCACAGACCCAGCAGTGACAACTTTATAATCAAAAGCAAAGGAGCAGTGAGTGAACAGCAGAGATAAGAGGCAGGAGGGAAGGAGAGCAAGGCTTTAGGGATAAGACAGTGGGAGCAGAGCGCAGTTTCAAAGTAATTGGATATGCTAACGTCGGAGTTTTGCGCAGGAATGTACATCTGTTTCTGAACTGTTACCAGCTGATGTGCCCGCTCTTCCTTTCTGCTTTCTCGGCTGCAAACCCTGAGAGCAGCAGGCACACAAGAGAGAAGGAGAAGCTGAGCAGGGGACAGCAGTCTGGCTGCTTGCTGACCCTGCCAGTAAATGCAGCCGAGGTAAAGGAGTACTTCTGGTGGGCAGGGGTGGTGCTGGGGCAGCTTAGGTGGCTTCCTCAACTTTGTGCTTGAGGAGCTGGAAATACGGACCTGTTCAGGAGAGTGACAGAAAATAACATGGGGAAGAACTTCCTGAAAAAGCCCTGCAGGCCCTTTGTCCATCATCCCTTTATGAGGCTGGCAGCTACCACCAAGTTTTGACCATGCGTGTGAATCACAAGGGCCATTTCCCCTCATCAGGTTTCCTCAAGAGCAATGCTTTCAAAAGCATAATTTGTCCCTCACATTCCTCCTGCAATACTCACAAGAATGACCAAAGCCAAATGTTGGGAAAGGTGTGTGTACTCGTTATATGGGTATCCAGACCCTACATTGCCCAAACACTTGCTTTTTCTGTTTCTTTCTCTCAGATCATAAATCTTGCTTTATCTGCTGTGTACAATGCCAGGGCAGACTGTCTACAGTGTAAGATGGATGCCAACCAGAAATAACTTTCAAGGAATATCACAGCACGTCAGATTGTTAAAATGTGCAGTAATTCGCAGCTTTCCTATCCAAGGCCCAGCCTCTGCAAAGCACTCGAGCATGACTTGGAAAACAGCACTGCATCTGAGACGTGTCAGCTCCTGTGGAACACAGGTAGGTGTGTAAGGCTACATATATATGCCAATTAAAGACCAAGTTTCTGATCTGAACAACCTCTGATATATATATATATATGTATATATGTATGTATATAAGGATCTTCAGTGGATTCAGCATGCTTTGAATTGGGGTCTGACGCATCAGTGGGCCATGTCACAGCTCCTGGTAGTCCAAGCTCCATTGTCAGTGGGAGAAGGATAATTTAGACCAGATCCAGTTCTGTCTCGAACGCTTGGTGCAGTGTTTCAAGTCTGATTGTTGATTGCTGGCAAGATTAGAAATCTGTCCAATTTCTCGTGTCAGTATAGTTGGAAAGATAGTGTGTGTCCTGTCCTGCTGCAGGAAGAAACCAAAATGCACTGGCATTGCAATTGTGGATTCTATTTTTAATGACAGTGTAAAGGGAAAAAAAAAAAAAAAAAAAAAAAAAAAAAAAACAGCATTAGGGGGAATAAAAAGTAGTAGCTATCGTGATTCCAAAAATAACATTTCTATTTTAGATCATTTACCCAAGGCCACCACTAATTGCAGATCAGAGCGGAATGTCTCCCTGGGAATCCACAGGGAAGACAGTTTTTTCCTCTTTTTGGAAGGTGAAATATTAATTGCGGCTGCAGCAGTAGTAACTGTAGCTTAAAACCTGGGCTAGGAAAAATGAAAATATTTTTTTCATGAACTGGAAAATCAAAGCATGTGAAGTATTTTATTCTCCTTGCCTTTTCTTCCCCCGTCTCCAGCCTCATGAAATGGGGGAGGAAGGGATTCCTACCAGTGTCGAGGAGAACCCAAAACTGATCTGGCTTCAAGGCAGGTATACATGTATTGATAAAAACATCAAGTTTGGCCCCCAGTTTTTCAGTATTGCTTGACAGCTTCTCCATCTGCAGGAGGTGGAAAACTGCTTCCACTGAGGAGTCAGGATCTGTGGCAGAGGTGAAACGGTTGATTTTAGCAGTGCAAGCTGCAGACTATTATCTGGGAAGAGTTTGACCAGGCTGAAATCCTCTCTGAAAGGATCAGCAGGCTCCCAGGGTGAAAACCATTTCTGCTGGGCACAGACAGCATCTGCAAACACCCTACCCCTTTGTACACCTCCTGCTTTGGGTCCAGGCAGTCTGCATGGTGGTATTTTGAGCACAACAGCCTGTGGTGGAATTACTCTTTTGACACATTCTGAAACCCAGAGTTACTTGAATTCACATGGCTGGAAAGGCCACCAAGAAAAAGTCCAAAGTATTATTGCTGGTATTCCTACATTTCAATATTTTTGAGGATAGCCCAGGACCCCGGAGAATTAAGTCAGACTTCTAGTTAACCATTTTGTGAGTTGAAAAGGTAGCAACATGGTACGGGAAAGCAAAGCCCTGGTGTAATTATAATGTCATTGAAATAAATGGTTTTCCTCGTGAGTCCACCGGTTTGACATCCAAATCACTTTTCCTCACTTACCCTCAAATTAAAGCAGTTTTAAGGCCATGTCAAGAGGATGTGTGGCACTGGTGACATGCCTCCATGTTGCTGGCCAGAGGAGATTGAAAAATGCCTCCTAACTGCACAAATTCACCCTGAAAAATTGCATGACATGCAGGAAGGCAGATTGAGAAGCAGCTTTGTTTGCCTGGGTGTATCGCTCCATAGACATGCACACAGTGTGGAGGGATTCATCACCCTGAAGTTCAGCCAAAGAAATTTTAACTGTTGAGACTACCTCTAGAGTTTAACCACCAAGGTACATCATCTGGAGGTTCAGTTTTTGGGTATTGGGGAATCCAAAACAATGGACTCGGACACAGATAGTTACTAGATAGCTCTGCGTGGAGGAGGTGAAGCCCTCCCAGGGTGCTGGATGCATCTGCTGGTGGCCCCAGCTCAGCCTCGAGAACATCTGTGCTGGAGCCCACCAGGATTTGGGGAATTTTCAGAATTTAGAAAATTCCAATTTTGAATGTCAGGGCAAAACAAAAGGAAACTTTTTAGGGTTTCTGAAGTGGGGAAAGCTGAATTTTTGAGGAGAATAGGATGGGTCAGTTAAATCTTTTGTAGTCTTTTTGGCCAACTCTGAACTTTACCTTGGCTTTGGCTAATACATAAGCTTGCAGACACCCAAGCCTTCCTCTGCCCAGATAAAAACAGGCAACATCTGTCCTCACTTCTCACCCCCCTGCACTGTAATTGTCCAATCATTTCTTCCAGGGTCTAAGGCATAGTTGAGGCCATGTATCATGTTGCATGTGTCTTCTGGCTAAGGGAGACTGGACAGCTCATTAGCAGCACTTGTTGATGGGCTGGATGGGTCACTGCTGAGTGACAGGTCATTCATCACAGTTCCCAGTGGTGAAAGGTCTTGCCTTCAAATGGTTCCCACTCCCCATCGGCCTGGTAGTGGGATTGTAGAGATGGGATCTAGGTTTCCTGCTGCAGAAAAGAAGAGCTCTACTTGTTGGGTCATTGCCACTGCTGGGCCAACTCAAGAAATTGGGCCGAGCCTCCCCTAATATTCATTCACTTTAAAAAGACACCTAAACCTTCTGCCTGAAAGTCTATAGAGCTAGTTTTGAGCCAAAACACAGCTGTTCTCCCATACTTTGATGGAAAAAACAAATGCCTAATATCTTCCCTTTCTTGGAAACTCTGCTCAAAAATCACATCCACTCTTCCTTTCCTATTCATCTTTTTAGCCACATTTTAACTTTTTATTAAGTTCTTTCCCAACAGTGCTTCTCTACGCTCTCTGTGCGGCTTTCGGTATTAGAGACATTCCCACAGCAGGAGGACAAAATACATCATCCCAGCCCCCAGCCTGTTTATTGCTTTTTGTCTGAAGAACGTGGGCCTAACCCATAGCCTCAGAAGAGCTGTGGCTCACGCTCTGTGGGGTTTGGTGGTCTTGTTTAACATCTTCTACACCTTAGTGTCTCAGCAGAAGGTGAGATCTGGTGAGGAGACCCTCAATAATCAGCACTGAGATGAAGGGAATTGGACAGGATCCTCCTTTCCTTGCTTTTTTGTGTTCAAATGGTTGACAAGAGGGAAGGGCTATCACCTTGGAGAACCCCCTGGATGACTGCTGAACTTCTCACCAACTAAATAAATAAAAACATGGCAGAATTCATTATTGAATTGTTTAGAAAAACGTTTTAAATAGATTCTTTTAAATAGAACATTTAAAGAAACATTCCTAAGAAAATATAATGTATTTTGAAAAAAGCAACCTAACCCTGACCCCCTTACTTCAACATGCTTCAGTTTAAGTGTCCTTGTTTCTCCTGGTACTTTAGCTGTCTGCTTCCCCTGTTCCCCCTTTGGACAGCCCTAACAGACCTTGAGAGCTGAGCAGGAGGCCAGCAGGAGGAGGCTCACTATGTCCAGGGTTGCCTGGCCACCAGTGGAGTGAGCACAGAAAGCCACAGTGCTTTACTTTGAGTTCTGCTACAGCGATGGGCTGGTACCTCCAGATGAAATTGCTTAGTTATCAGTTGATTTATCTTCTCTTTGGTGTTTAACTCGTTACTGAAGGGTTGAAATCTTACATTGAAAAAGAAAGAAAAAAAAAAAAAAAAAAAAAAAAGCCTTGCTGAGTAGCTACACTTAGAACATCAGAAGAGACATTCAACCAAACCTGCTCAGCTGAGAGGGAACGTTATTTTTCTTAGCCTGATTAAAACTTCTTCTTTGTCTTTACTAACACCTGTTTGACTCAAGCACCTGAATAAACTTTGAGGAGGAAAGATAGCTTTGTTAAAGACTCAAGTGGACCTCAGAAGATCAGGTTCCACTTCTGGGACCCTCAGCAAATCCAGGGGAAGCCAGGCTTGACATTCCTATTGAGATCTGTGGAGAAAAAGCAGGAAAACCCAATCATTTCTTTCAGAAACAATTAGGTGAAAAGCCCCAACCCAAACAAACAAATTCTCAAAAGTTAAGGTTTGTAGAATTTAAAAGAAGCAATCATAACAAAACATAAATTACTAGCATTATTTTTGGAGTGTTGTTACAGAAATATGAAATGTACTGGCTGTTTTCTCAAGAGTAATGACCTCTATTTGTGTGGACCGTATTGTCTGTTGGGGTATTGTGAACAATTGCCCCAGTCTTCTTGACCTAGATCTGGCTGCAAATACACCACTGAGCAGACATCAAAGCTGGTCTGAGGAACATGTAGTAGCTGAAGCACTGGAAATGAAATTATCAAGGAAACAGCTGCACCCCTGGAAGGTACAGGAAGAGCATTCCTGCAAAGCATCTGTGAATTGCATGTGTGGTGTCAGGGAGGATGCATGTTTGGGTGAGGTAGCAGATATTTTAATCCCCCGGCCTGCTGCATTCAGGAGTCAGAGTATCCTTCCCACTCCCTTGCTCCCATCAATGGCCATCTCCATTGCATCCCTGGTGTTCTCTGCTGGGCAAGGGTGACTCACTGGATATTATATTGCACCTTGCGTTCTACCTTCAGCATCGCAGATGAGAAGTGGCTTTGGGAAATATTCCTTTTGGTGAGGCTATAAGACGCATTACAGGGCTGGATGCACCAGTACAGTCTTCATGGTGAGTCACATTTCAGTCTCTGTGGTATGTGGTCAACTTCAAGTATATAAGGCATTATATGAAGTTAATATTTATGTGTGTGTGTATATATATATATATATATTGAAATTAAGGGGGTAATACATGTACTCAAATCCTCCCCAGGAGCAGCCCCTGTTCAGGAGACATGGGCAGCATTGCAGCCTAAGGATGTCATCTAGCCTCCATGGTATCCAATCCCCGAATTAAAACAATAACACTGAATAGTAGATTTCTTTGCTATGAGGAAGAGCACCACAGCCTATAGTGGATTGCAAAGTATTACATTTTTCTGTATTTTTCCTCAAGAGTTCTTTTAACTTGCATTTAATTGTTGAAGGAGGAGAGCTATAAAATATACCTGTCCTCAGCCTGAACCTCCTGAAGCTTTTTCATTATCAATTGAGCTTTGTGATTTTTTTTTTTTTTCTGGCATCAATACTACTGTGATGTTTCATTTCCTTCTATTTTGCGCTTTTGGCAAAGATAAAGTTTACTGTCGGTTCCACTATATTCTCTATCAGGTGACCCAGAATGTGATCCACAACTTGCAAAGTCAGCAGAAAACTTTATGTTGCTCTCAGCAGGCTTTACAGCGACCTTTAATAATTCTGCTCTCCCAAGGGGGCTGAAGTATGAATCCAGTAGGCATTTGTCGTGTCTCCATCTCCTAAAGGGCCAATAATTTCTTGCAATATTTTTGTAGGCCTTTGATCCATCACTGTTGCCTGATTGTGCTTTGAAGACTTAATAGTGCCCCATATCCCGCACTTATTAAATTCAAATTCTCCAGTTGCATTTCCCTGGAAGATACATAAAAATAACACATGGAGGAAATATAACTGGAAGATCCTTTGTATAAGCTGGCTTACGTTTCTTATGTGGGGAAGACACTGAAACCATTGCTTTTACACTCGTGACAGAACCATCTGTATAATTTTGATGTAGTGGAGCATATCTGAAAAAGCAATAATAGGTTGGGGATCTGTGTGCTGGCATCAAAGCTTCAATTTTTTGAGTGCCGCTAGGCAGCCTTTCATTTAGCAAGAATTATCATTAGATGGGCCTCACAGTAATAATTGCCACAAGCTCTGACAATAGATGGGTCTGGTGGGATTTATTGCAGTTTTATCGTGATCAGGACATCGTTATTTCAGGGCTGGGAAAAGAATACCATTGAAGGCTCCTAGAAGTGCTCAGCTGATTGAAAGGGAAAGGTGAAACAGATAAGCCATTTTCTTGAGGATTGGAAGAGAACAGAGTGGGAAATGTAGCCTGTTTGAGGAGGAACCACTATTGCATCCAAGCAGGAGGACAACTGGTCCATAAATCACTGAATGGCCTTGGGGATCCCCAGGTTACTAGGTCCCCTTCCCATCCTTTACCAGAAGCGTGGTGAGGAACTTCTGCTCAAGAGTGATGTCTGGAGACTGCACCTAGGCATCTGGCAATTGGGCACAGGTGAAACCTCCCATCCAGATGGCTCGAGAGGCTCTGAATTTGGTAAGGATTCTTTGAGGATTCATTCTTCTGGGCAGTCGCTCCACAACTCTGCTTCTCCCAACCTGCTTGTTTGTCTTCTATCTTCCTTCTGTGCTGGGGAAAGCACAGATCCACAATGAAAGTGGATCTACTCCATCAAAAGCACAAGCAGCACTTTCTGGACATTTGGCGGGGTTGGTGGGACACATACCTTCTAGCTTACGAGGCGAAGCCTAAATTAAAAGCTAAAAGAGTCAGCGTCTCACTGCATGTTGTGCAACCAGAGCTCAGCGATATTTTGTAAGTAGAGTTGCTCCATGGTTTTTGTTTCTGTTTTTCAGTGGGATCTGATTTTTTGATGGTAGCATATGCTAGTTTTGATGAAAAACTGATTTGGAAAACAAAATGGGGGAAAAATGGTTGAAAATAAACAACTTGTTTTCAAGGAAGTTGAGGATTTCCTAAAGGAAGTTTTCAGAAGCATGAGAGATTTTGTTGGGGGAAAGCAGGAGGCCACAGGCGTCAGTGCTTACTGCTAGTATTGCAAAAGATGAATCCTCACAGATTGATAAAATAATTCTGAAAACCCCAAAGTGTGACTGCTATTTTAGTACACTCTTTCTTCTCTGTACAAAAATACTAATGGGGATGTGGATGCGAGGAGATTTTGAAATGAAACTTTTCAAGATGAGTTTTGCTTTGGAAAAGGGGCAGAGAAGCATAACACACTATTAAGATTTCACTGTTTTGCTGATTTATTTAGCTGCAGGCAGGAATAGGCAGACTGCATTGCTCCCAACACACATGGGGTAAAACTCCTCGTGCATGCAGTGGGAGCAAAGTGAGGCCAGTGCAGACTGATTTAGAAATTTGCAAGCAAACATCTGTCAGGCACTCAGCAGAGATGAATAACAAAATCAGACTGGAGCAGACATATGACGAAATCCTTCCATGTGGAGGGAAGGGGAAGGGGGAGGGAGATGGCAATCCAACGTGTACTAATATTTTTGTTATAATGCAAGGCGTATCAGTAACACACACACGTGAAGCTATGGAAATGTGCAGAATATTGTTGTGCCATATGTTTTAAATATCATTAAGTAGGCCAGTTTTGTTGTATATTTGATATTCTGGCTGTTGTCACTAGGAATGGCCCAACCAATTCATATGGAATATGAATTGGCCTTAAACTTTGTCTAATCGCTGACCCAAAGAGAGTTTGCAAAATGCATTTCTAACCTGAGAAATGACAGGCTGAATCTTGCGCTGTGGGAGGAGGCCAATTGGTCATACGCTTGACCCAGATACAAATCTCTTGGGTTAAAAATAAAGAGGCTGTTGGATAGCAGGGATCAAAACATGTCACTGATAAGATTTGTTTTGCTTTGTTTTCTTTTTGCTGGAAAAATACATCTCAGGCAAAAATTCTGGTCATAATTTTTTGCAAGTTAGAGTTTTCAATATTTTCCCATTGGTGTCTCAAAACAAGGAGGAAGTAATGAAATGTTGATTTATCCACATTTTTAATTTGGAAATTGATGTAAAACTTATACGTTCTTTCAGATTCCCCCCCAAAAGAGGAACAATTAAATTTGAAAAGTGAAAGAATTTTTCCTTCTTATATGATTTCTTACATTTTGAAAAGAGAGGAACCCCACCCAATTCCTCAGTGTTTTAGATAAGGAGCGTTGCCCTCAATTTTGAAATGCTTAAATAAAAGCCTCCTAAGTTTAGAAGAAAGCAAGAGCATTATTTCTACAGACAAATTCTTTTATTTCACTCCTGCTTTTTTGTTTGGAAGGGTCTCCCTGTCAGAAGAAGAATAGAGCAGAGGAAATCAGGGTGTGGAGAGTCATAGAGTCATTTTTTTATTATTAACATTTCTTCAAGGAATTCTTGCTTCTTTTCCACTTTTTTTTTTTTTTTTTTTTTTTTTTTTTTTTAATTCCCCATTGAGAACAAGGAGGAATCAGTGAGATAAACAGCGGGGACCACTCATGCGTGACAGATCCTTTTGCCTCTCATCCCCACCTCTTGGAAATGAAATTGAACTCATGAAGAATTTCAAATGAAAACACCACGCAACGGATTTTGGGGGGTGGGAAAATCTGCTTGCATGCCTGGGTAGTCTTAGTTTCTCTTTGCAGAATGTGGGCTGAGACCTGAACATCTCGCAGGGCTCCTTCCTGTTCCCACATCTGTGCCAGGAATCGGCCTCTGCGGGAGGATTTCGGTTAACGTGTCCTGGGAAGACGGGAGCCAGAGGGAGATGTAGCTCCCTCTCTCAGAGCTATCCCGAATCTGCAGCCCCTACACAAGTAAGGGCACTAACGCTGCTTTTGTTGCTGGAGTTGGCTGTGAATGTGCACGAGGATCAGAGCCCATGACTCAGAAGATGCTGTTTTTGCAAGCACTTTGCCGACTACAAAGTCACTGTCAGAGTTTGGCTTTACCTTGCTAAACCTTTATGTAAAAAGCATTGCCTTTCCCCAGAAGAAAGCTGCTTGCTGGCAATTAAACCAGCAGCTGTTTACTCCCAGATTTGCTCTTCCTTGGTGCCATCAATTAGCTCGTCACTGAAGTCAAAGACTTTCAGAGGCATCAATCATCCCGACTTTTATGCTCCAGACAGATCAATTGGGCTGTTCAATAATAAAATTCTCTGCCAGTATTTGCTGCTTCCATTTCATTTTACACATTAGGGTCTAGTGCGGGAACATCCAAAAGGCAGAAATTGTGGGTGCAGAAATTGTATAAGGCCCTTTGGAGAAAAACTGAGGTTCAAAACACGGGCTGGACCAAATCGCCGTGATGTGTTGAAAATTCAGGCAGGCCTCCTGGGAGCCATTAATGCTCCTCACTGCTTTAATCACATGTTCAAAAGCTTAAAGCCAAAATGCTTTGTTTGATCACTTCGGCCTCTTGTTTATGGTAGGCTAGAGTGCTTTAGCCACTTACACCTGTTTAGAGACCACTGATGTGCTTGCCTAAATTTTTTTAGTCCCCACCTATTTCTTTTATCTCTTTTAAACTTTACACGTTTCCCTGTGCTATTTTAGCTTAACCCTTTAAACAATACTGTCTTCCCGCAAAAAGAAAGTAGGATAAAAAGTAGAATAAAAAGCAAAACCACCATCCCTGAATTTATTTCTTCCTATGCCCTTTGCAGCAGGAAGAGAGGGAAAAGTGCTGGAGTGAGGCAACTGATCTTGGTTCGGAGATTTTGAGAATTGCCAAGTCTGCTATTTCTTCTAGCGGTCTGGTTACCCTTAGAGGAGCACATTTTATTCTCATTTCACGGATGGGATGTCTATGGGGTGCTTTCACCCTGTAAAGCTACTGGTACAGGACTCTTGGCTGTCCAAGAGCAGAGGGGTTTTGGGAATCACTTGGCACTGTGGTGGTGAAGGCAGAGAGGACAGCTAGGATGTTAATGTGATACTATTTCAGTCTGGAGATCATTCATCAATGCTTCTTTGGTTCATGAGGTAGTTTTGGGTTGATAAATCTGTCGCCAGTGATGGTTCGGTCACATTTCAATGTCCCTGCAAGTTCTCTTGCAAACGATGGCATTTCTGCTGTGATGGAGATGTTTCATCCAGCCCCATTTTGAGTCACTGCACGGTCCATGGCTGTATTTCAGTCCACTTACCAAATGTGACAAAAGCAATTCTGGCTCCTTCGCTGCAGTGACTCATAAGGACAAGTTTTTAAGATATTAAGTCCCAGGAGCGGGGCCAAGAGAGTTCAGACACTGCCTGCCTCACAGTTGCTGTCTCCGTCCTTCTCCATTGCGTGTTTACATATCAGCTGGAAATTTCCTAAATAAGTTGACTCTAACCATCAACAAATACCATTCAGATAATGCACATTTCATGGTAGTTTTCAGTACTCTGCCTACAGGAGGATATAAAAACTTCTTTTGTTATAATATAGCCTCCTTGGCAGCTTGTAACTCAGTGGGAAAGACTCTGGATTCCTGGAGGAGCACACTGTGTCAGCGATTTTGGGTATTTCAGGGAGCGTGAGGCCTCACTGGGGAAAAAGGAAAGCCCGAGAAAAACACTGCTCTCCTTTAAGATGAATCAGTAATCAAATTAGGTCAAAAATCAAAATGTGCTAGTAAAGGGTGTGAAAAGACAATCTCTATCCACAGATCTGGTGGGCTTTTATAGGAAATGGGAACTCTGCCAGCTGTCTACTGAGTGTGTGTCTGTGTCATATTTCATTTCAAAATGAAAATTCAAGGGAGTGAAATCTTCCATACACACTTCCCAGTACTTTAGTTAGCTTAGTAAGGTGTCGGCAGAGGTAGCTTCCATCTCCGGGTGTGCACAACCCAAAAAGGGATGCCCTTGAGCGGGGACATTTGGGGGACTTTGTTCCGAGGGGCACAGGCATCCGATGATCTGTCGCCTCTCTGAGACAGGCATCAAGGTGTCCCCGGCCAGGATTTCTTCCATCCCGAGTGCTTTCTATGCTCCACGTTCCTTAAGAACCTTTGTATTTTCAAGGAAGATTGTTCTTTGAATGCAGGAGATCCAAGTAAAAAGGTTGAAATGTATTAAAGCTTCCTAGTGAAATCATTTCCCCACCAAACTGACATTTTGCACTAATAAAAAAAAATCTGGAAAGGGTTTGTTTTCCTGAGAAAATCCTGAGTTCAACATTAAAAGTATCACAAAAGGTTGGATGGGAGATCTTTTCTTTTCTTTTTCTTTTTTTTTTTTTTTTTTAATTATTATTATTATTAAAATAATTGCAAACATAATTTTCACTGAAAATCTAATGTTAAAGAAAATATAGATCTTGAGTTGAAAATTTTGACTGGGTCAGTTGTGGCTTTTTACTTTTACTTTTTCATTGCAAATCCATATAGAACTTTGCTCTCTGCCTTATTTGCTCTGATCAACTCTGTAAAACATAGTAGAGAGTTCATGTACTCAGTCATAAAATGCATCACATTGTTTTTCCTAATGAATAATAACAGAATGGCATAATTTTGGTTTCTCATTGGAAAAAAAAAATGCAATGACCTTTTTCCTTTTTTTTTTTTTTTTTCCCTACCTAAACTGCTCTGCACAGAAGAAGTGTCTTTTCAGATCAAGGGTGGGAGATTGGAGGGTTGTTTGGCAGGTGTTGTGTGTGTTCACCAAAAAAAAAAAAACTCTGCCAATGTAGAAAACATTTCATAGAAGTAGAATTTTTTTTGCTTTTAATTTTTTTAACATCTCTTTTTCTTGAACACGTGGCTTGTAGGGTGGAGGCATCTTGGACACTGCTCTTTTGCTGTCAGATATGCAGCCCTTCCATGCAGTCCTTGTAAGCAGGAAAGAGCTACAGGACTCCTGCTCTGAATGTCAAGTTTGAAAGTGAAGCGGCATCAGTGTGGCTGATTAAAGGAGCTGACGCCAAAGAGAAATGTCATGGACAGTTTAGAAAAGCAGATTGAAATGGCTTTAAAATGTGGAAGAAGGGTCTTGGAGCTGAATTTAGGAGGGAACTCCCGACCTCCTTCACAGCCCCCTACTCTGGGAAGTACCACAAAGACTAAGCTGCTTGGGAAAACACATCTACAAGTTGTTGTTGTTGTTGTTTTAGCTGACATATTAAAAATGAAAGAAAAAAAAATCCTCCAGAATATTTCTTTTCAATAAAGAGCCTTCTTTCAACAACAAAAAGACAATTCAAAGGAATATTTCAAATGGCTGTTTTTAATTAACTCACGTGATCAGCTGGTGGAAGAATTAAATTAGAGTTGCCTGATTTTATTATGGGTCCATTTTATCCACAGACCAGCAAAGGTAAAAGGCAAAACTTCCGTGAAGGGCCTGATCCAGGGCATGCTGGAGGTTTGGAAAGACCCCCTCCAACTCCTGGCATCTTTCAACTGGGTTGATCGATAATTCACAATCCACCTCTAAATTTATCAGCTCACTGTCTTTAACTGAGTGTATTTTACATGGATTTATTTTTAATCATGTGCTGTGGTGCAATGGGCTGTTTGGCGAAGAGGCTTTATAGACCCAACGTGTACACTTTTGGGGGAAGATAATTACACGAGTTCAAAGTCTCGTCAGCCAATCGTATTTTGGTATTCATGCAAGCTGTTTCATAATGCTGTTTTGAACCCTGTTGGTGGCATAATTAAGATTTAATTAAATACAGGAATAGAAACATGTTGTTCATTTGACCATCTGTGAGTCAATGACTACAGTGGTTTTCTAAGTTTCTACGCTACATGCTGTTAGTGAGTGTTTCATATTATTTTCCATCTCCCCAACCATAGTTGCACGTTTTCAGAGCCACTGAAGAGCCAGAGCAGATATTATAATCTTGTGTTGATGATCATCTCTTTCTGCTGTTCTCAGCTATTGATAACACTGAGCACAGTTAAACCTTTTAAGTGTAGCATGAGCTGCTAAGACATCAAGGAACAGAAATGCCAGGAAGAAACGATAGCTTCATCCAAAGACAAAAATAAAAGAGAGGGTGCATTTTGTTTCCTTCATTTTTTGGTGGAGGCATGTACAAGCCAGTGGTACCCAACCTTTAATAACAATAATAATGTAGATTCAAGCACTTTTTTCTCAGAGTCTTCCTAGAGCACCTAGCACAAAGCAGCATTGCTCTCAATTTCAGGATGGATGTGCCAGAGATGTTCAAAGTGTAGCAACAATCAAGTACCCAAGTGCACATCAGGGCTCCAGAGTACCAGTTTCTACACTATCCAGAGCTCAGAAGACGTTTAGCTGATGTGCCAAATAGTGCATTTTTTATGTTGACAAAAGCTATTTGTGAGTTGGTGTTGAATATAAGTTCGATTTAACTGAAAAGGGTGGGTTTCTCCTAATTAAAGTTGTTTTTTTACTGAAATTTTAGAAGGGAAATGTTTTGATTTCAACAAGATATTATGAGACTAAATTTGGTTAAATGTTGTGTTTTTAAATAGTGCAAAGTTCACCCCAAGCCAAAACTGAAACATTTTGTTTCAGATACAATGAAATGTCATGTTTGATCTGAGCATTTTTTCCCTACTGTTTTCTGGTTTAGTGGATAAAAGAAAAAAAAAAAATGTTTGACTTAACTCAAACAATATTTATTCTTTATGGGATTTTTCTTTTTCTTTTTATTGGGGGGGAGGGGGTAGAGGGTGGAGGGGACGGAATGGGAGTGTCGACCACCAACCCCCAAAACTTTTTCCAAAACTTTTGCTGAAGCATCTAGGAAAAACACAGAAGGATTTGCCCTTGCTCCTGTTTGAGTTCCTCTTGTAGTCTACCAAAATAAGCTATACATTTTCTTTTCTCACAAGACAGCTTTTAAAATCAGAATTTTCACAAATACATTTGATTAACTATTTTTTTTTCTGTATTTAAACACTTTTTATTTCTTGTTTTCACTTTCTCTTTTGGTTTTCTGCTTTGGTATACAAATGATGGTGATCAATCAGGTGAGTAACAAAGGGCACTGCCAACAATTAAAAAAAAAATGTTTCAGAAAGTGAACACTTCCCAGAAGGGGAGGAAATTGGGGGACGGGGGGGGGGGGATGTGGGGGGGGGGGGGGGCGGGGGAGTGGTGGAAGCTAGAAATGACTAGCAAAACCTTAGCAGGAATTGATCCATGAGCTTTCACAGTCATGATCCTGATGCAGATGAATTTGATTCAGTGTTTCACAGTGACGTTCCTGCTAATGATGCTCTCCTGTGAGCATGTGGAGGACGTGACAATACCATCTCCTCTGATGCTTAATTTATTATAGTCTCCATGAATTTTCAGGGCTCAGAAATGACTTTTACCTGCCATATTCTTCCATGTGATTCCAGCTACTCGCTGAATAGATCAGAGGCAGGAGTGGTGCGGGTGCTTCAGAGCTTACCAAAGGCCGTTTTGGCTCCCACCATCATGAACTGGTGACAGCAGCCCTGTGGTCCCAATTTCTGAACTAACCGTGCTCTTCTCTTGAAAACGCTGCTGAAATATATCCCAGCCATCTCTGGCTCTGCTGCTGTTCCTCTCATCTTTATTGTCATGCATGTCACATCTTGGAGAGCTCACGGCTCCCAGTGCAACAACATTTTTGGCAACAGGGAATGGTAATTTTCAAGGGGGTGCTTCAGAGTGCTGCAGGACAGGGGCTATCAGCTTCTGTCTCCTCTTGAGATTCAAGGACTTTGCTGAAAGAAGGATATAGTATAACGAGGAGTTGCTTTCATTCTTTTGCCCATCCCCTATTTCAATGATATTTGAAAGTCCCTGCCGGTTTCAGTTCTACTCTGTGTAAGACCTTGGGATTTTGCAGGTGTTAGGACAGCAGGAGTTTTAAAATGTTTTGCACTGGGTTGTTTCTTCTCCTTTTGAGACCACTGGTTGAAATCTTGCTAACATCACTGGGCTCAACACCAAGCGCTCCAGAAAATCCTACCTTTATTTCAAAAAAAAAAAAAAAAAGTGCTGGTGTGTTAAAAAAAAAAAAAAAAAAAGAAAAAAAAAAAAAGTGAGCAGGAAGGGTCCGTTCTGCAGCTGTGCCTCTGCGGAGCAGCATTGCACGCCTGCTTTGCAGCCGATGAGCGGATGGCATGTTCCTCGCCTTCAGCACAGCTGCTCGGATTTCCACCAGGCAAGGATTTGGCTTGGAGTACGGTGTGTGAAGGTGCCGCCGGCTCCGTGCTGAGACACATACCATGGGGATGGATACGAGTCAAGAAGCTCTGATGCTCGCAGCCTGGAGGTGCTACCTCCTTTTCAAAGCGCCCCTGGAGCCTCCGTAACATGTTCGTAAAGGGGCATGTTTAGATACCTGTTGCACATAAATAGATCAACAGAAATAAGCACAACTATGTGAAATGTGGAATAAACTCATAAACACCTGCAGCTATTTTCAAAGTCAGGTATATAAATGGATCTATTGTATTGCACAGTGATATCTGTAATTGATTTCAAGTTATCAGCCTATAATATGCAATACATCTCTTCATGTAAAAAAAAAAATAACAACAACAGCAGAGAATATTTCTTCTTCTCAAAGCAGATCTTAGCAATATCACATTGCTTGACATGTTTTCTTCCATCCCTGACACTAAGCATTTACATGGAAGAAATACACAGCACGTATGGCCGTGACTGTGAAATGGAATTTCCTCCAGTAGAACTTTGCTTCTGGACAGATGTTGTAAAGTCACCTTTCTGTCTGCCAGAGCAGATGGGCTCTGCAGTCTCTGACTGCTCTAGGCAATTTAGGGAATGATAAAGGCAGAACCAGAGCCTGTGTTAGTGCATGATTAAACTTTGTAACATCTCCAGTTGCTGTTAGAAGTGGTTGTTCAGTTTTTAATAATTTTTTTAAAGTATATTTTTTTCTTTAACCAAATGAGTTTTTCTGTGGGAAAAGGTATGTTGTGTTTTGTTTTGTTCTGCTTTGTTTTGTTTTGTTTTGTTTTGTTTTTTTCACCCATTTTGGCTCCAAAATTAGGAACACAGAATCAGAAAATGCCATCTGTTACAAACTAAAGTAACGCCCATTTTCATTAAACATTTTCAGTTTGCTATAAATTCAGCATTTGGCAGGTATGTTCGATTCTGTTTTATTTTACTTTATTTTAGTGAATCGGCTTACACCAGCAATTAAAGTGGGAAACATGACTGGCATTTCCCTCGCAGAAGCCGTATTTTTCAAGCAGCTCTGCTCCCTTGCGTGGTTGTTTCTTCATCTTTGACTTGGTGGAGACGTGTTGGAGCCTTGCTTTCCTTGGGGTCCCACCTCATCCTGCACCGAGCACCCTGTGAGCTGCATTCCTAGGGGTGGCAGAAACCTTTCTGGGGCTCGTGCTGCTGTCCCCATGCCCCAGGGACCTTCCCTGGGCTACTCAGGGTGGATAAAAGGGAGCACACGAATAGCTCGCCGCAGGATCAGGCTCGCCGTGCGTAAAGCACTGGCGTAAGCACTAATGCTTTCCAGACTCACGGCCTCAGCTAGCTGCAGCTATCCACCGAGCATCTTTTTAACCTGTTTTGACTCCTGCAGTATTGACAGAGTTGCTCCTAAAACGTGGCATTTTGAGAGGAATATTTTCTTCTAACATTTTTCCCCTCTTGCAGTGTTTAAGTGGTAAGAACAGATGTTTATTTGCAAGCCAGTGAAGAATACTGTGGTATTTTCCTGTTTTCTTTTTTTCCCCCCTCTAAGATTTTATTTTATTTTTTTGGCACAGCTATGAATTAATTAAAAAATAATAAGGGTTTCAAATGCTTAAAATTCTGCCGGTGTTGTGGTTCCCAGAGGGACCTCTCCAAATTGCAGCCCCCATGTGCTGTTACCATGACAATCTCCCATTTTCCTTTAAACTTCAGAACGCTGCATTCCATAAAATTTGCACAAAAAGTGTCTTTATTATAAGCAAAACCTTGTCGGTCAGGTACTTAACGTCCTGAATCAATAAACATGTTGTAGGGCTGGCTTTCCCTCTGCAGAGAGAGCTGGCGGGTTTTTATAAAACATATCCATGGATGATCCCAAGGGCTGTTTTACAGTAGAAGTAGGAAAGAGGGGAGAATGTCTGTTGGAGTGAGGGAGAGGAGAGTGTATTTGTTGTCTAATTGTTGTCTCTGCAATGAGATAGATAACATATACACATCCAAACAGGCTTATATCCACATCCGTATTTATCTACACAAATGTGAAGCTTCAGAGTCACCACAGTCCCTGAGCCGTGTATTAATGTGTTATGAATCTACCTCTGCTGATAGGAGCACTTCCTATATTTAGGCACAGTTTAAATTGAGCTTTCCACATGAAATAAATGCTTATTTTGAAGGGGTATGATTCCTATGTCATGACAAAACTCATTTGCAAAAATATCTCATCCCGTGTCCACACAGAACCAAAACTTAGTTGCGGTTTCAGCATGTTTTCTCGGATGACAAACAAGCGGGTCCGGCCGCAGGAATCACAACAATATACTGACCTGAGCACTCGGGGACTTTGACTCTGGTACTAAGCTCAGTATTTATATCTGACATATCATTTTGGATGAATTAGCAGAGTGGCAGGTGTGCTACTCCAAAGCTATATTTCATTTGACGGATGGTAACATATTTTAAAGTGTTTGATTATCTTCTAGTGAGAGATGATGTAAAGTGCAAAGTGTCGTTGTTATACTGAATGTGAAATAAAAATAAAGGGTATTCCTTTACTTTTTCCTTAGAGGAAGCAGGGAGAAGAGAGGTATTCTCCAAGACAGGCATCTTTATGTTAAAAATAACTTGTAAAGTAGAAATGTAATGACAAACTCTAGAAGTATAACAAAACAAAATTCCTTTCCATGTCTCCCAGTAGAATATGTATTATTATTTTTTTTAACTTAATTGAGTTAATCCTTGTTTGTTTACCTTCTTGATTATATTAACCAGCAAGGTAGTGATTAAAGGCAGGAGTGTAGCTCATGCTAATTACCCTTAAACCCTCCCCCCGAACCTGTTTCTTTTTAGTGAGAGATGATTACAATAAACACACCTGCACTATTTTACAAGGAGGCTTGGCCCTGGCTGGGCTTTCTAAGCTGCTGGGAAAAGCCAGAACCCAACCCTACTCACAAGAGAGCTCACGCAAAGCTCTTATGTTGGATATGGGTGTATGGTGGCTGAGCAAGGAGAGAATTGGGGTGAGAGATTTATTATTTTTGGGTCCCCACACCACTGGGGAAAGCATGCTCTGCCTTTGCTACAGAGCACCAGGCAGATGAAAATCTGCAATCTGGAAAGAGAGGCTGACAGAAAGTGATTAAATGCTACAGTTAAGCTCCCCGTCTTCCTCAGTGTGGGTAAAACTGCTTATTTGTGTGTATGTGTGTGTTTGCATTAGGATCTGCTCTGGGCATGGTGATCAGCATCGACTGACTCAGAAAGAATCTGTTTTGGTGTTTGCCTGAACCAGCACAAACTGCTGGTTTATACCTGGTCAGGAGCTGCTGTCTTCTTGACTCTCATAAAACTAAGTTTTCTTGCTGTGTGCTCAGTTTAGGGTGATACACGGTGGATTTAGACAAATAAAGGCAAAAGTTAATTCAGTGCAGCAGAATGGTTGGGAGAGATAACATCTTATATTCCTGCTGTTTAATTAAAACCAGGTTTTTATTTGCTATACCTTTTAATTAAAGAGGAACAAGATATTTGCCCTTCTAAGGCATCTGTTTGAGTTTATGAAATCTATTTTTTGTTGTTGTTGCTTTTCTTTTTAGTTTAGGATTCAAATATGCTGAACCATTCTACCACAGTTTTTACCGAAAGAAGGTTAGAGAGTTTTCTCCTCAACTCTGGAGGCAGGGAGACAGCCACAACCATGAAATTCCCTCCTGGATTTAAGCTGATCTGCTCTCAGAGCAGGAAAAAAGCTTTCCCTGCAGCTGTGAACTTCTGCTAGCAATAAGTAGCAAGGTAACAGAAATTAGACAAAGAAAAGGGGGGGAAAGAGTTCAAGTAACCCAAAAATCACTTCTATCACTGATTATTCCGGGTTTTAAATTTACTTAAGTAGCTAGGGTAATGTAAAAACATATTTATTTTGCATTCATGTGCTAGTGTGAAGAACTAAAGCAAATTCCCTGAATAGTTTTTAATGTAACTTTCTATGTACTACTTATTAATTTGAAAAGATCAGTATTTATATTAATTAGGAATTTGGTCTCACTCCTTAAAATTTGTGCTAATTGCTTTCAGAAAAGAAGGCACGGGACTTTTCCTTAGGTAATGTTTAATTTTATGAGCTCTCTCAATAGGTAAGGATAACACATTTTAATATCTTCACCTTGGTTATTTTGATTACTGCACGCTTCACTTGAACGTTCCAAGATCAAATTATTTTGTTAGGGCACAGTTCCTTCTTTATTTAAGATACCTTGAATATTATTAATTTCTAACTTTTTTTTATCAGCAAAACTTTAAAGGATTTCCCAGCTTCTCCCACTGATTAAATTTCACAGTTTTATAGGATTGTTAAGTTACTATTGATTTTAACATTATTAATTCAATTCACCGGGAAGATACCCATCGCGTATTACTTTCATTTTGTGAAGCAGTTCAGTTTCAGTGTTGGCTCAGAGTCGCGTGTTTTGCTGATGTTTTACCCCATCGAGAATAACTTGGCTGTTGAAGAGCTATGCTGGGATCAGTTCATGAAGATGTAAGAGTCGGTAGAAGAATATAATGTGGAAAAGGAAAATAAAGTTATTGAAAGACCTTTTCTGGTTTTTGTTTAGTTAGAGGATTTTTCCCCCCTGGAAGCAGATCCATCATTCTGCTAGGGCAGTGTAATATTTCTAAGCCTCAAGTTTTTTGTACTGTCATTATGCTGCAGAAATCCTAGCCCTGGTGACGGAAGGAGAGTTGGATAGTGCCTGCTGGAAACTTATTGATAGTCTGGAATTACCTTCCTGGAAGCGGTTGATTTAAGACTGTGGCATGTATTTCAATAGCTGAAGGGAAAATTGATAAGCTACTCAGCATAAGGTGTCGATCCATCAAACTCTCCTTTCTCATGGCGCAATCATCCCACTGCAGCCAGCTCAGCTTAAGCACATGCATACATTTAAGCGCACGTTTCACTAATTTTCCTGGCCTGTTAGAATGGGATTGTGAAAATGCTGCGAACCAGCCTGCTAGGTGGGCAAAGTCTGTGCAAAGGTTCCCAGTAGCTAGGAAAGTCTGCATCGCATTTACCTTGCTGCTGCAAGCTTGTGTTGCTATATCACCCGAGGCTCTTAAATACAGTGATGACTTCTGGGTAGGTTGCTTTGCACCTCCACATAAGGAGGAAAATACTGGATGAGGGAAATTAGTGTGGTATTCAAGTACCTGATGTGATTTAGACAGCATGAGGAGAGAAGCACTTGCAGTAGGGTGTGTGTGTGGAGCAACAAGTAAAGCAAAAACCTTGGGAATCACGGGGCTGAAATACAGGTATCTGAATAACGAGAGAATTTGATGTTTGTTGAAAACCAGGTCTCAGATTAGCTCACTGGCTGGGTCTAGTGCTATAACATCCAATAATTGTGGCTACAGTTCATATAACTTTATTGTCCTCCAGAGAACTGCGTAAATGTTAGCTTGGGAAATCTCTCCTGCACGCTCAAACAGGATGTGTATGTGCATGCATGCCTGCGTGCAGCTCAGCATAGAGGGTATTGGGATCAGGTTCCCCTCTGAGGAGCTTTGTGGCAATTTAGCAGAAGTCCCTTTTTGGAAATCACAGCTTAAATCTCGTTCCAATCTAAGAAATGTTTTTTTGATAAGCTTCATCTGTGAGTTACTTGTTGCTGGAGCGGCTGGTGAGAGGAAACCTGTAGGGCACTGAAACACTGTGAGAACACCTCCATGAGGTAGAGACCATCAGGCTGGTGTTGTTTTGTGACTGATAGTAATTGCTGGTCTCTGTACATGAATTTTTATTACTCCCAATTCTCCTATCCTACATTTCTAAGAGATAGGGATACATGCACCCGTACTTACGTGCACTCCAAGTAGCCCAACCTGTTGTTGCCCTTCATGTTATTTTGCTCTATTTTCACTTGTGTATAGTGAGAACTGCCTGGGCGAAAATTTTCCATACTCGGTGTCTGCCCCAGCTTGATTACTTTTGGAAAGTCTTTCTCAGGAGATGGCTTAGCCATTAGCAAGGCTGAAAGAGGAGTCTCACTGCAGCACAGGCAGCCTCCAGGATGAGTGCAGGGTGCACAGGGAATGCCATGCTGCTTGCCAGGGGCATACAAGATCAGTGGATGCTCTGTCTGTGAGCTCTGTGTGCCAATTCATGTCATCTTACATCCCCAGAGTGCTACACCAATATTTATCAGCACTCAGACATTGCATTATGAAGCTGAATAACGCTTCAGGCTCTTTCTCTCTGCAAGGTGTGCAAACAAGGAACTGGGAAGATGGCAGAAAGATGCATATAAATTACATCAAAAATATAAAACACATGGGATTTGGTTGAAGTGGAATACAAAGCGTAGTCTAATTGCAGAGATAAATAGCTATGCATACACTTGTCTGTCTGCGTTGTTCTGTTCCCTGCTGAGCTGGAGCAGGGATGCTCGTAGAAACCATCCTCTGCTTCTCCTGGAAACGCAAGATTTTAAGCCTGTACCACGAGAGGGCAGTGCCTGCAGCTGGATTTCCCTCTACTCGAACACCTCCCAGTGTAAGATAGCTGAGTGCTAGTGCAAAACGCAATCTGATTTTATTTCCACCTTTCCCTTGTGTGGCAAGAAGTTATCTTTGAGACTGGAACCCCTTTGGCTCTGGTGCCTCCCTCAACATATGCACATGGACTTAAGCAAACAGATAGGGTGGGAGTCATCTAAAATTAGACACAGCAATCGTAACAGCACTTTGTTCCCACAAAAGGAGCTGATGTGGCCTGGGACTCTTTCTGAAGGCCAGAGCTTGCTTATTACCCCTATGGCTCCAGCCTCTGCCCATCCTTGTGGCCTCCTCTGGCCCCACTCCCACAGCCCCACGTCCTCCTGAGGCTGCGGGGGGGGGGGGGGTCTCACAGAGCAGAAGGGGAGAATCCCCTCCCTCGCCCTGCTGCCTGTGCTTGTGTGGGTGCAGTCCAAGACACCATCAGCTTTCTGGGCTGCAAGCGCGCATTGCTGGCTCACATCCAAATTTTTACCCACCAGTACTCACAAGTCCTTCTTTGCAGGGCTGCTCTCAACCAGTTTGTAAAATCATTTTGGTTGGAAAAGACCTCAGAGTTTATCACATGCAGAAAGAGAAAACATTATAGCAGAGGATGGTTTCGATCCATCGACCTCTGGGTTATGGGCCCAGCACGCTTCCGCTGCGCCACTCTGCTCCTTGTATAGATTAAAACTGGGTGTTGCTCTACTGAAGATCTAAGACCACGCACTTGACCTTGAACTTGATCCCTCAAGACTAGCAAGAACCCCCTGGTTGTCATCCTTTCCTTCTAGCATATCAACTGCACCACTTAGCTTGGTGCAATCGGCACACCTGCTGAGGGTGCACTCCATCCCGCTGTCTATGCCATTCTTGAAGGTATTAAATAGTATTTGGTCCCCTGAGGGACACCACTTCTTACTGGTTTCTTCTTGGGTTTTGAGACACTGGCTGTAACTGTTTGGATGCTGCCATCTAGCCAATTTCTTATCCGTCTAACAGTTCTCAAATGCATGCCTCTAGTTTTGAGACAAAAATGTTGTGGGTGACTGTATCAAAGGCCTTACAGAAGTCTAGGTGGATGAAAACAGAAGTTTTTCCCCTGTCTACTGATGCAGTCAGTCCATTTTGAAAGGCATCTAGATCGGTCAGGAATGATTTGCCCTTGGTGCAGCCATGTCAGCTGTCTAATAACCTCCCTGTCTTCCATATGCTTTGACATAACTTCCAGAAGGATCCATTCTGTGATCTTACCAGGCACTGAGGTGAAGCCAACTAGTCAGTTGATTCTGGGTCTTCCCTACCTCTCTTTTAAGAAATGGGTGTGACATTCCCTTTTCTCCCATCACTGAGGCCTTCACCTGCCTGCCATGACTTTTCAAATGTGATGATAGTGGCTTAGCAACTGCACCTGCCAATGCTCTCAGGGCCCTGGGATGCACCTAGTTGGGTCCCATGGACTTTTGTATGTTCAGGTTCTTCAGGTGCTCTCAAAACTGATCTTCTCTTGTGATGGTAGGGACTTTATTCCCCTGGTTTCTGCCTTGAGGTTCAGGGACTTACGAGATGTGGGAAGATATATTAAATTTCCTCCTGAAAGCCGCTACCATTGCCTGTTTGCCTTGATTCCTACCTGTGCAAACTGATTATCTGACTCCAAGGAATTCCTGCATGCAGACTCAAAGGTAGTGCAAACCAAGGAGCTGAATCTGTCTGGGCTGCTCTATGGCTGTGCAAAGGGAACAGGCTCCTTGCCTCCCTGCCAAAGTCTGACAAAGAAAAAAAAAACTCATTGAGCAGTTGAGCTATTTCTTCATGCTAAGATATTTCTGCCTATTAGGACCATGAATGTCTTTGTAACAGGGCTCTTGGAAATGAAGCTTGCTACTGTGGGTCAGTGGCAAAAAAAAAAAAAAAAAAAAAAAGGAATAAACTTTCTCTTCATCCCCAGTCTGTCCTTTGAAGAAACTACCAACGTCTTCTCAAAAGAATCTGTTTCACAATGGAGATGTGATTTCTTTTGTTCTAGGGTTTCCTAGATGACAAAGAACCATGGTATATTGTTTCAGAAAGGGTGGATAGTTTAGTTCTGGAGGAAGGAAGGTGTAACAAATTACTCTCATTTTTCTTGGCAAGAACCCAGGTGAGCTGGAAACTGGACTCTATTTCAAGCAAGAAATCCTCAAGCTGTTTATGGGCCCCCAAGCCAGTCCTTAGCGGTTGCCATATGAGGGTACCATCCTTCTGCACTTCCTGGCTTCCTTCCATAGGAGCTTTGGCCATTAAATTCCTGATGAGAGGATCCTGCTGCTTCACAGAGGACAAAGAAAATGCAGAGCTGACCTGTGCTGTGTTGAAAAAGAAGAGCAGCTGAAAAGACCAGGAAGGTGAAGCCTGATTCCCAGCCCAGGAAAATCATTGAGAGCTGCTATGAAAGTCAATGTGATCCTCTGAGAACCTTCTGGTGGTCTGAGGAGCCTCGAGTAGGCTTCATCTTCGTAATGTCATATTAAAATCTTGAGCTGTGCTGGGTGTAACCTGCTGTGTATGGGCTGTTGTAGAATTAGGTTTTGTGTGTATGTTAAGGTCTGTATAATTTATGGGAATACTATAGTCATTGTTTCTGGGATAAAACTTCAGGGTCTAGAAGGTGAGATGAAGAAATAATAATATTTTTTAAAACGAGGGTGAATATCGAAAATAGACACTGCTGCCAGTCAAACCTCTTGCCTGGAGACCAGAAAACTGGTCAAACTGTCATCAAGTATGACACAACTGGCAGGAAAGAAGCTGAGTGGACATGGAGCATATGACTGCACACAGCAGTTACTCAGGATTGAGGTGGAGTGTAAATGTAGTGCACAGAAATCAGTTCCAGAAACCAGCCCAGTTCCCCCTGGGGTTTCCTGCCTTATAGTCTACTTCCAGAAGCTTAAGTTCATTCAGGAAAAGGCAGGCATATTTCAGAATAAATGTGCCCAGACATGGAACTATGGGCACAGCTGGGGCAGCCTGAGACGGGGCCTCGCTGCCCTCTGAGTGACAAATTTCTTCCTCAAACCTGATCTAAATCTATCCTCTTTTGATTTAAAGCCATTACCCCTTGTCCTACCACTACACTCCCTGATGAAGAGTCCCTCCTCATCTTTAATGTAGGTCCCCTTTAAATGCTGGAAGTCTGCTAAAAGGTCTCAGAGGTTTCTCTACTCTAGGCTAAATAACCCCAAATTTCTCAGCCTGTCTTTGTAGGAAGTTGCTCCAGCCCTCTCATTTGCTTTTAACTATCTCAGATAAATGGATTTGGCTGAATCAGTGACATATCAGAAGCTGCTCTGATGGCATGATGTATTTCCCAGTTTAGCAGCTGCTTGCATCCATCTGATTTAACAGGACATTACCCAAGAACCATCCTTTGGCTGATGTGTCATCTCTAAAAGGCTGCCATGCTCAGGATAGCTCAGGGAGGGCAGAGAAAGTCTGTCCCCTCCAGCCAGCATAAATCAAATGTGGCTGCACTGAAGGCCATGGAGTGATGTGGGTGTCAAACCAGAGTGTGCATGAGGAGAAACAGCTTCATCAGTCTTAATGGTGGCAATAAATGTATTGACTCCTACTTACTGGCTCAAGAGCCCAGGATTAGAGTTTTAACTCCCGAAAGGAACATTTTTATTTCTGGTTTTGACTTCAACCCAAACCCCCGTCTTTACATATCCTGCCTCGGGATTTATTGGCCACGGTTTTTCCGAGCTTAGAGTCATCATCAAATTCCAGCAGCCTGTTCCTCAAAGTCATGCCCTGTGCAAGGATTCCTTGACAGCAGCAGTGATAGGTGGGAGTGCCTCTGCAGCAGGGCATTCCTCAGAGCCTGCCAGCGTGCAGACCACAGCCCAGCTGCACTCAAACGTCTGGCACGTCCTGCAGGAGCTCAGTGGTGTTGCTGATGGAGCCGTGCTGCAGGAAGCTCCGCTGGTGTTTCTGTTGTTCTTAGTATTGCTGCTTGAGCATGGGGCATTGGGGTGGGAGTATGCATGTCAGAGGAGGGCTTTAGCTGACACCTAGAGCTGAAGCCTTCCTTAGCTGGAGTCCCCATGCTGAGAAAAATCATTCTGTTCCAGGGCAGTTCTTCCTACTTTGGTACTAATGCAATCTCCAGATTGGTTGTCCTTCCACAGCGAGCAGATCACAAACCTGATAAATTGCCTGATCACCTTTATAGGAGTGTGCTTTCCCAATGCTACTGTACCCACCAGCTTGCTTCAGAAGAGCCATTAACCAAGTTTTCTAGGTTGGAACAAAGAGCAAACAAGCAAACTTTGGTTTGCACTAGGTGAGTACAGAAAATGTTTATTTGTTTCATAGCATGGTGCTATTATCTTGTAAGCACTGCGGACCTCTGAGTGGCACAGTACTAAGGAAGCAGCACAGAGAGTTCAGCCTGCGATACCATTAAAATGGGGGATATCTGGAGCCAGGGTTTTTGGAGACCCAAATTAAGCCTGGTGGTGAAGTACCTTGCACAGTGGGTGCATTCCCATTTGGAGTCTATTCCACCTCTAGCCACAACAGTGCTAGAGAGGTGGTTACTACAACGTGCTGGCTATAATGTGTGACCTGTGGGGTCCCCAGCAGTGCTGCCTGAAAGCATCTGGGGTGGATGAGTCTCAGGTCTCTTACAGATGGTAATCAGTAAGGATCTCAGAGAAATACACATCCCGGTGAAGACTTGGCCTGTCTCATTTCCTTTAGATCCCAGGCAGGCTCTTGGGGATCCTCTACACAAGGACCGGGCTATCACTGACCTCTTAACCTGTGACATCGTGTCACCTTCAGAGACATTTGTGTCCCCAGAGGCTCAGCATTGCCAGAGCAGGTAAGAAGGAGGGAGAGCAGTGACCTGCTCTGGGGCCGTCACATTTACTTTCCTAGAAAATAAATAAGAAAATAAATAAATGAACAGCCTCATGCTTCAGTATCCCTGACAGGCAACCCTAGGTTGTATTGTCTTCCTGCCCTTTTAACATGAGTACAGAGGTTAGCATTGAGGATTTGTAGGCCAGGAGGAGGGCAGTTGGGAGAGCTGAGCTCCTACACCCATCGTTTGCCCCACCAGTCTTGTATGGGGGCCCTCAAAGAGCTTTTTTTTTTTTTTTTTTTTAGGCACCAACTACTGTAAAAATCATCCCAATGTCATAAGTGGGTGAAAAAGTAAAGAAAGTTAAAAGTTTGAGATGAAATGTTTTCTTTTTCTGAGTCGGCTGAAATATCTTGTTGCATCTGAGATTAAATTGCTCCTTTTGTTTTAATGGAAAAATTGAGAAGGTAAAAAGGTTCTTTCCAGTTTTCCCCTCAAAGGCCTCTCTCTATATTTGCTTCTCCCCAAAACTATTAGAGTTCAGCCAGAGCAAAGACACACTTTCTGACATAGCTTAGCAGAGATAATGGCTATATGGAGAACTAATCAGTGTGCTAAAACAAGTACATTCATTTTATCTGGATCTAGCATTTCACTTGTTAAGAAATATCAAGTAAAGTACATTAAGACTGAGTGCAGTATCAGGGTATTACAGAAGTACAGTGTACAAGATGCATGATGTACAATGGCTCTTCTTTACTGACAAATTGATTCAGAGCCTTTGCAATGTAGGAGTGACAGGAAAAAATGTATTCAACAGATGAGCACAATGTTAGCTTTAGAGCACACTCAGGTAGTATGAGAGAGTTATCACAGAAAATGGAGAAACAGCTATAGGCTTTTCATCATGGTTTTATTTTTACTAATATGAAAAGCTTAATTATTACCATGGGCTGCAGAATAAGACAGCTATTCTGTGGAAACAACTGTTTGGTAATCACTTGCCAAGTGTGAACACATTGCTTTGCCTCTCTGTTTTGTTTCAGCAGGAAAGTGGGGCACATCTTGCGTTGGAAGCATTTAGCAGAGCCTTCCCGATTGTTCTTGGAGCGACATCAGGTAGCTGGCACATCCTTAAAAAAATCACAAATCAGAAGGGAGAAGTGGTTTTGTGAAAAATGCCAAAAGCTAGCTGCTGTCTTTGTGTGATCAATCAGGATGAATTATATGTGTGAGGGGCATAGAGGAGATGGTTCCCAAGTGCTAGCAGTCATAGGCTATTTGTAGCCAAAATTGTTTGAACTCAGACGTCCCAAAGTCGTCATATAGGGAGGTAGACATGAGAAGTTTTGGAAAGAAATTCTGTCTCTCACCTCCTGGAAAGCTTGCCTTTCATGTTCTCTGTGCTCTACATCACTGACAACTTTTACACGTATTGCTCTGGACATCTTCAGCCAAACAAAAGGCTACAGTGAATGGTGCTTAGCTTATTCTTGTGATCAGGGATGGGTTTTCCCATGCACTGGAAATGTAGTTTGGACATTGCTCTCACTCAATGGAACAGCAATCTCAAAATGTTAGTGTGATTGTAATGACACTGATTTTTAATGGTTGTTTTTTGTTGTTGTTGTTGTTTTGTTTGTTGTTGTTGTTGTTTTTCCACTTTCAGACAAGAGTAGTACATAAGTGTGTGAGAAACCAGAAGAAAGAGAAGCAGAAGGCCCTAAACAACAACAAGTTAACACCATGAGAGTCTGGATGCTGGACATGCAGAAAGAAAGTGATCAGTGACAGTCAATGAAGTGGTAAGTGCCATGCTTTTGCTTGCAGTACTGAGAATTTAACAGCTGGTACCCAGCAGTTGGGTCATCAGATTAGCAATACACTGCCTTCAGAGATCTCTCTTTTGGGTAGCTCTTAATCCCACTTTACCCAAGACAGGCGGGCTGTCAGATCTACACAGAATAGAAGGAAGAAAGGAAAACAAAGTAAGAACATACCACATTAATTTAAAAACATTTTAAAACATTTCAATTAGAATTTAACAAGTCACCTATTCAGCCACACCAGAAAAGCAGCTTCATTCATTAAGATGTTTCCCAGTGGAGCTTTTCAGAAACATTAGTTACCTAGAAGCCTTACAAAGACGTGATAACTATGAGAGGCATTTGTGTCATTCTAAAACAACTTATTTATCTATTAAAGGTGGATGCAGCTGTAAAATAAAATACAAAAGTTCTCAGCACTCAAGAGAGTTGTGATCAGTGGTATATCAGGATTTATTTTCCCAGATATGTAGCTAATGGAAATTAACAGGGAAAGAGAAAAGACTAAATTAACTTTTCCTGTTTTTTCCATTCAGGCTCTGTCCTTTTGACATTTCCACGTGTAACGAAAGGGGATTTTTCTTTTGCAATGACTTTCCTCTAAATATGCTACACTTTTTGAAGGCTGATACACTTCAAGGCTGAATTCCAAAAAGTGACAAAATCCAAAGGAAATTAAACTGCAAAGGGACGGAGTTAGAAAGGTTAATTACCTTATAATGCAAAGTGCCAAGAACTACTGAAAATCCCCCTCGGCTCCTCCCTGCACTGCTAAGTAACCCAAGCCTTTTAAAGACCTGTTGCTTCCACACTGAGACTTGAGGCCCCTTGATACTCGGGCACTTGGGCAATTTCCCATCTTCACTACATAGTGGACTGGTGAAGTGACATAAGCTGGTAGAAGCAAGCACAAAGTTCAAAACCCTTGTAAATCAAGATTAATTACGAGCCAAACAGAGAACAGAGTAATAGTCCTTCGCTTTAATATATAAATAATTATGTAAGAATATAAATTGCATATAGGCATTCACTCCCTTATACTTCAAAACAAATCTGAAATTAGAGAGCACATTCTCATGTAGCTTCTCAGTGTTTAACTGTAACACTGTATCTCAGAGATACCCTTGATTACTTGAACATATGTATTTTAATAAATTAGATTCTGTTTATGCTCAAAGCCATGTGTTTTTCTCAGTCAGGTACAAGCTAAAGAAAACCTCTAAAGAAATCAAAGAAAATATCTAGATGTTCCATAAGGTGACATTATAAAGGAACAGCTCTGCAGAGAAAAACAACAAGTCTAAAAATGTGTTCTGAGAATAAACAAAATCTTTAATCTGGTTTGAAAAGGGAACCATTCCCACAAGTTTAGCAAGTTCACTTTTAAGGAAAAGATCCTTAAATGAGAGTTAGAGGCAAAGTTTAGATTTATTTGTTTTTTAATTGCAACAGCTATTTACCTACACTCTGGAAGGTAAGTTGTACATCATCAGAGTCATTTGAATGTGACAAGTGGTGTTCAAAAGCTATTTGATTCACTCTCACTGGCAACCCAAAGTATTGCTGTGATCCCTGAAAATAAAATAATTTTTTCTCTCACCGCTTGTATTCCAGGTTGCCTGGTGGTGGCTTTGCAAACCATTCCTGAGGCACCCCTCCACGTAGGATTTGGGATCGCATCCGGATAGCAGGATCTCCCCAAGGAGAGCGATGTAGGCGATGGCCAAGCGGAGTGTGTCAATCTTGGATAGGCGCTTCTCATAGGGGAAAGTCGGAACGTGGCACCTGAGCTCGTCGAAGGCCGAGTTGATGTTGAGCATCCTCTTCCTCTCACGGACGTTTGCGGCGCGGCGGTGGAGGCTGGCGGGGGGAGGCCGGGAGCTGTCCGCTTCAGCACCCCCCGTAGCTCCGGCTGCCGCGCTCAGCAGGACAGGTGGGCCAACGGGGACTAAGGGTGGGGGGGTAGGAGAGGGCCAAGGGCATGAAGGGTCCTCCAGGGAGCAGTAGTCCAGCAGGAGGTCATCCAGTTGGAGCTCAATGTTGGGATCCTGGTCCCAGAAGAGGAAGTCAGGAGTGGAGTCTTCCTGATCAAAGCTGTAGCGAGGTTCTTCCATCCTTGCATCCACCAGTCTGAGGCAAGTTAATGAATATGTTTCAGGCTTCTGACTAACTTAGCTGTTAGGAAAATGAGGTTCTGATTTCATTAATTCCCACTCCTCAAAACTGTCAGGGGCAGAGAGTCCTGGCTGTGTCCTTGAAGAAGACTACTGCAAAAGTTTCCCCAGTTGTAAATCCAAGTGAGACTCACCATTTAAATACTTCTTGGCTCCTGAGCAGGGGAAGGATCCTATTCTTTTTCACTTAAAACTAAATAGCACACGTGCTTCTCTTTTTATTAGCTGTTGACTATAAAAGAATATGAATGAATGTAACAAAAGATTACAATTTTTCAATTGCCCTTCTCCTCGAAAAACCATTGAAGTAATTATTGAGTTTGTCCACAAGTTCAGTCTCTCCACCTACTATTTAGAGTAGGATTTGTGCTGGGACTTTGTTGTAATTGTTATTGGTTTTGGTAAGCAGTGACTGGATACAGAAACAAAATACAGTCCTTTATCTTTCTGGTTAAGTGTTAATAGCCACACATTCTCCCATAGCTGGACAAACAAAACCCTATTATAATGTTGTCAGAAACACACGATTCTGCCCTCTTTGGCAGCAGAAGCCAGTTGCATATTCCACACTTCTAGTGGGAGAGCAGTTGGGATAAAGACATGTGATGCTGCGTTAAAACGGAGCACAGTGGTACCTCGCTTTGTGTAAACCAGCACTGCCACATTTGCTGCATTTTCTGATTCACACTTAAATTATACAGCATATGGGTGATGTGGGTATTTAGTGCTCTGTCTCAGACCATACTAAGTACTGGAAAATTGCAGCACCTGTAATAATCATGATGGGTGCAGTCCTAAAATGGTTGAACAGGTGAGTCACATCTTGAGAAGTGCTGGAAACCAGGACAGTAGCAATTGTCCAGCATGACAGTTTGTGGCTTTTCCCCTGTGACACTGGACAAAGGGGGTCAAAGGTGTTAAGCACAGCCAGAATTGTAAAGCAAGTGTGCAATACAAGTGAGTGACTCCGTCTCCTTGATTTCTTCAATACTTAACCCAATATTTCAATTCATTCAGAAGTAATCTCAATGATATCTTAAATAAATGGAATAGAAATATGTTTTGAGTTAGAGAAAGCCTAAATATTTTCTCTGAAGCATGGCATTAAGAACTTTTTCAAGGCACTTAATCAAATGTTTGACTTCATGCACAGACTTATGTTCTGTTTCTGATTGCAGGTTCAAGAGATGTGTGAAGTTTATGAGCTACAGAAAGCTTACTGATCAGGAGAGCTAAAAGTACTAATCGCAGGAGCTTCAAATAATGAGTCAGAGACCAGAAAACAACCCCCATTTTCAATGGGTCCAAAAGGATGATTATGTTCCCTATCTCTTAACAGTGACTTAGGTTGCAGTCCTAGCTTTGTCCTGCAAATAGAGGGATTTCTTTTAAGATAAGGCTTAGGCTATTAATGACTCATCTTTCTAACTACACATCATGGCATTTTTTCCTGCTGCAGGAAGATTAAAAACAGTAGACAACAGGCTACAGGAGTGACTTTGCAAAGAGATATGAGAGAGTTGCAGTGTATAAAATACTATTTTTTATTTCTTATTTTTTATTTTTATCTCTTTTTTTATCTCTTATTTCTTATTTCCTTATTATTTATTATTTCTTCTCCTTATGCAAAATAATCAGAACCTGTTATCTGAAAATTTGCTTGAGAAAGGGAAATGTAAAATGTGAATGCCTGACAGAGTAGATAGTGGCTAAATGACAAGAATGAATTTGTTTTCTCTGATAAGATAAGACACAAATTTGGTATTAGGTTTTTACAAAATAAATCACTTGCTGTGATATAGATATACCCCAGTGGCAAAATACTGGTTCTGTGAAACCCCACAGTGACAGAGATCCTCTGCTCCAAATGAATCACAGCGAGGGACAAGGCAGTTACAGAGCAGGAGATGCTTGGGAGAGGCGAAAGGAATAGACACAGTCACGGGTGGCAGAGCTGAGACTTGAACTTGGGCCAGTGAACACAGAGGTCATTCTGTGATGTTTTCTTTGAAATTGTCCCATCGTATTTTCCAGTGTTGTGTACAAGCAGTGGTCTCAGAGGAAATTACTTACCACAGTCCCCATACTTGGCAGTGGGGCTGCATATCTGACCCCAGCAGTCCTTTCTACACTCTAGAAAGTAGATTTGGGCTCTTGTGCAGAAAAGAGGTAGTGGGAAAGCCTTCTTGCCTCAGCCCCTTACCATGGCACCACCATGGCACATGGCACCATCAAAGCACCTCTGTGGCACTGCTGCTGTGTGGTTGGCTTCCCACAGGTGCTTTGCAGTTCCCAGATTTCACGTTCTGGTTTGAATGCTTCTATAGCTCACCAGTCACTGTTTAACTGAGCACTTGGCAGTTCTCATTTGACTACCTTATGCTCAAATATAAGACACTTGAAAATACTTAAAGCAGCAAGAGAATAGTGGCCTTCTCCTGAACAGGACTCTGGGAGCAATGGGCAGAAAAGAGGAGGCTTGGCAAATAGCATGGTTATATTTTTATGTGCTGGGTTCCTCTTTCTCAGCAGATGCTTCTTCAGTGCTTAATGTTCCCTTCCAGATCCATCACTGCTAATAGTGTTGCCTGGGGATATGTCTGGCTCCACAGATGGAGAGCAGATGTTCCAGCAAGCCTTCTTTTAGCATGTTCAGGGGAATTTGGCTCTCTTAGAGAGACTCTGGACAAAGCAGAAGAGGGAGGAGGGGAGTGGAAGGGAGGAAAGCAAGAAAAGATTTTCCCTTAGAAAGCCAGCTATGAAAGAGGTCATAAGAGAGGCTGAGGATCCCATCCCTCACACGAACAAACCTTACTACAGCTTCAGATCTGTTGAACTCTCAATGTTTCTGACACCAGGGTTGTCAGAAGGGGACATGTACTGCTATGTACTGCTAGTTGGACCAATTTTGCACTTTTCTGGAAGGTTTGGTAAAGCCCCAAACAGTGAATAAGGTGGCACCAGTACTATGTTGAGTGAAGGTGCTGTTGATTATGACACCCTGGTAAAATTTCAAGATCTGCTCAACAGTCACGTTCCCCATAACATCTTCAGATTGAGTGGGATCCAGAAATAATTTTTTTCTGCTTGCCACTTTTTCTGCTAGCACTTAATTCTTGAGGTGACAGCAGTTTTATATATATCTATGCTAGGTAATGGAGCTATGGCCATTTGTATTTGCATTTTAATCCTGCCAGGTCTGGGTATCCATGACTCCCTGCATAACTTTCCCTGTTCATGCTGGAAGCCACTTTTCTAAGTTCTGTTTGATCTGTCTCCATTATCCGAACAAACCCATGGCAGACTCTGGGGTTTTGCCTGTTTCATAGAGTTTGGGAGTTCCCTGCTTTCAGGGAATATTTCCACTGCAGCTGGTATCTTTTTCTTTTCAGTATTTTAGTAACTGAAAGTTTTTACCCTGTACGTGTATCTCAAAGATAACAGGGCATTCTGGGGTTATTTGGGAAATAGATCTTCCCCTCCCCTTCTTGACCTATTGACCGTATTTCAGGTTCATCTTGGAGAACCTTACCAAATTTTAGAGGAAATCAATGAAACCAGTTTTAGAGGAATCAATGAAACCTCCCAGTTCTGGCAAAATGGCGTTCGTTTTCCTGGGAATGTAGTTTGAGCATGTTTCCACCATCTTTAATTGTTTAATAAAGGGAGTCAGACCTTGGACTAGACAGATAACAAATGTAGAAAGGACCAGGTGCTCTATTTTCAGGTTAGGTAACTCCAAAGTACAAGCCCACCATGTAACTGCTGCTAATCCAAGCCAATGCTGCATAGGGCTGACACCGTGTTCATCAGCAGACCTGGGAAATGGGTCCCAAATCACAGAGAAAATGAGGTGAAAGAGGCCAGAAATTTGGGGGAATGCTTTATCTGGGTGGGAGTGTGCAGCCAAATGGTGCTGCCAAACTAGAGCTGAAGAGAAGGATTTACAGGACCTGAACTGGCCTGGTAGTGCATTGGTTGAGCTCTTTATAGCTGCAGCTAAGTGGTGGACCACCAAGTTTCTCTACCTTCTTTTGGGCCATTTGCAATGCCTGGTATTCCTGAACTCCTTGGCACATTGTGAAGTGCTGGGGGCAAAAAAAGTGCAAGTATTATCATTTAACAATGGAATGTGCTTCTTTTTAACCTAAAACAAGAGCAAATGAAACAACGTAATGAGAAGCAGAACAAAGACTTCCAGAGCAAGAGGATTTCAAAGGGATGATGGCTGTTTCTGAGATGCTAAAATAATTGTGAAATGAAACCTTCCTAGCATACACAGGATGTTGATTTTAAGTGAAAAAGGTAACAGGACCTCTTATTCACAGGGTAGAAACATCAGATCTTAAAGTTTGTGGGGGCAAGGCACTGGTGAATGATTGTTAACATAACTTTGATTTACTTCTTTATTAATATAAACTACTCAAGATAGCATTTGCTTTCAAAGTCTTTGGTGTTTAAAAGTGAACACAGTCACTTTAACTTTTCTTCAGGGTGTTTGCGAAGTTACAGAAAATTAATCCCAGTCTCTTTAGGAGAAGGAAGGTATTTTCTCTAATAAAAACAGTCACTCGTGGTTTCCCCTTCCTCACTGAGCCTTTTATGAGTTGAGGGATGACCTTTGGACTGTTGCTGCCAAGCAGTTCCTCATCCAAGTCGCTGCTCTGGGGTGTGTGGCTGCTTGTTTGAGTGAACAATTGTCTTTGGGACAAAACATGTACATTAGCCTATGCTTATCTGTACAGTTTTGATCTCAAAGGAAGTGAAGTGCTCATGGAAACTTCCTTGTGTGATGGCCCTAGGAGGACTGCTTGTCCTGCATTGCACGGTGATTTCTCCATGCAACCCGAAACATACCTCAGGAAGGTTAACATCAGACAGCCTCCAAGGATTACAGGTCCTGCCCATGACCATCCTCATCTCTGTAGCCAGTGAGAATTATCTCCAGGGAGAGGAAAAACTTCAATTTGTGTGATTAGCTAATGCTTTTATTAAAGGTTTTATTCAGATGTCAATTCTCCCCTCTCCCATTCATGGGGTAGTGCCTTAAAGTCATCAGTGAGTTCAGTCAGCTCTCAGGATGTCAGGCACTAAGTAAAACATTCTTCCTCTTGCTTGAGTATAACTTAACTCCTTTGCAAAACCACTGTCAAAAAGATGTCTTCTGAAACATACATGAACATTTTTTAAAGGGGTGGGTTATCCATTCCAGGAGGCCAAGCACTCTTTCTTTGGGTACAAGCAATCCTGTATATCTGAATTGTTTATGGTCTTGTTTGAATGGGAGAAAAAAAAAAATCATTAAAAAATGAAAAAGCCCATAGATTCTGTATCCCATTCTTGTACTGAGGCTACTGAAGAAATTTGCTTTCCCTAGGGTTAGAAGCGATTAGAAGACACACCTGGGCCCAAGGAAAAGGATGGGACAGAGAAAAAAGAGCCATGCTTGTGCATCTCCAGCTCACACCGCAGTCAGAAATCTTGTGATGTTTCCCATTAATGTGCAATATCTGTGGGATTTTGGAGCTTGAGGCCCTCGCCATGCACCAGACCAGGGTGTAGGGCCTGAAGCCCAGGTTGGCATGGCTGATGGCAGGGCCCTGATGGCTGGGACCTGTTTCCTGGCTCCCCCAGCCCCGCTCCCCTCCTGCTCGCTGCACCTGCACCGTGGTCCTCTGGACTAGTTAATCATGCAGGCAGCACCTCATAAACCTGCCTAGAGACCCTGGGTTTGGAAACAGAGTCACTGGGATTTACAGAGTGATGTCTGTTTGACTGACAGCTGTTGCTGCTTTATGGGAAGGCAGCACATGTTCGCACTGTAAAACAGAAACAACAGCTTCAGAAAACCTCCACGTGTGTGAGAGGCTTCAGCCCTGCTCTCCAGCCTTCTCCCTGGCTGTTACACCTTTAATGTGCTTTGAACCCAGTTCAGCCTTCTGTAGTCATGGTTGACTCAGACAGGATCTAAGAAGGTACTGAACTGTGTCAACGCCGTTGTGATGTTGCTGAGGGGGCACTTGTTACTGAACGGGCCATGAAAGAAAAGAAACCTACCAGAAACTGCAGCTGCACACAGGCCTGCCCTCTGAAAAACCACTTTGTCTCTGCATCCACCTCTGTGGACGCAGTGGGTGGAGGGAGCATGCATTAAAACCTGTTTTTATTGGAGAGCTGTCACACCATGTTATCAAAATGCTGCACTGCATGAGAGAAGAGATTTATTTATGTATTGCCACCAGCTGGCATTACTGAAGTTTCCTCGACACCATGGAAAATGCAAAGATGAAGCCTTAAAAAGCAGTTTTGGAACCATTTGGGTGGCTGTTTACTGAATTTGGCTGTTGAGGACAAAGCTTTGCAGCCAGGCTCTATATACATGCACTACCTGAGAGGTTTGGAGGGGCCAGCATCGTGGTGCCCTTTCAGAGATGCTCAGCTGCCATTGATTTTTTGCTGTTTACTCCTTTTTCTTGCCAGAAGGTCATTGCTGGGTCAAAGAGAGTAGCCAAAATTCATTTTGTGAAAGACAAGTGTCTCACAGCAATGAGCAGGGAGCCAGAGTCTTGGGGAAGATTTGGATCAGATGAATCACCCTGTGTCAAAAATAAGCTTAATGTCACCATCTCCCACCCTTCCCTCCTGTGAGCTGAATCAGTGATGATTAACAGGGGCAGTATTTTCTGGAGCAGCTCTGCAGGCCGGGAAGGTTACGGTTTCTTGACTGCATGAGAGAAAAAGGCAATGGCAAACAAGTGAGCATCAAAGTAAAAAATCTGAGAGCTGTTCCCAGCAGCACAAATGCAGCCTCCCACCGTAAAAGCAGTGAAGTGTTTAGATCTGCTGTGGTGGCTGCCAGTCTTCTTGGGTAGGATCCCAAGTGTGAATTCCTGCTCTATGAATTCAGCATTAACAAGAAGTGAGTTTTCATAGGGTTTAAAGCCAGAAGGGAATCATTATGATCCTCTATTCCGATTGCCGTGATAACACACGCCTTCGGTTGTTACCCAGCAACTTTGGCCCCAAGCCCAGTGGGATTTTCTTGTTGAAAAAGGATGTTTTTAAAAAAGGTACATCCAGTCTTCATTCAAAACCCCCAAGAGATAGACCACCAAAAGATTTGCAAATGTTGATAGGCCATTATTGTCTTTGCTGAAAACGTGCCTCTGATTTCCTAGCTGATGACCTTACCATGCCTATATTGACAAGTACCCCAGTCTGAAAGGTCAGATTTGAAGCACAGCTTGGCACTGGGGAACTAATTATCAGGCCTCTAAAGGTAGAGGTCACCCTCCTCAATAGCAAAACCTGGGAATATATAAAATAGCTCTTCTGGGAAGAGGTAGACCTCAAGCAGGACCTCTGCCAGCAGCACCTCTGGGCTGCACAGCAGCAGCCCTAGGAATGGGCCAGTAGAGACAGACCAAGAAAGCACAGTCGAGTGCTACTTCCCTAATTACCCCAATTAGACACCCAATTACCACTGCCCATTAGCTAGTTAGCACTGGAAGCTGGACCACAAAGTCATCTTGCCTGACTTTAGCTGCCTACAAAGGAGATGTTGACACTTGAACTGTCTGAAGGCTCCTGTTACCAATGCTGGGAGCAAATCAGAAGGGGGCAGTGGGATGGGATGAATTGCTTCCCAGTACTACTAATTTTTCTTTTTCAACGATGAATGGGGGAAAAAAGCCCCTACATCAACCTCCAGGAGATAAATGTCACTTAGAGTGACCACAGCCTCGCTGGAAGTCCCTGAAATAGCCTAGTCTGCTAAGCTGTGTCTGAGCTTTTACTCAGCAAATGACAAGCAAATCCATTTACTGAGGCTTTGGGCAACCGAATGTCTGCAAATGCATGGTTCTTTCTACACACCTATACCCAAGCAGTTGTCACCTATGGCGTCAAGGCTAACACTGCATGGTGATCTCAAACCCAGGAGGAAAGAAGCCTTGATTTTTGGAATAGTTGCAGCCTCAGCATGAACCAGCTACGGCTCCAGAAGTCCCTGAACTGCAGGTTGTTGGAAGCTGGAGGAGGATGACAGAGAAATTATTAGCATGACCAGAAAGAAAGAAGGAAGGAAAGAGAGAGAAGAAACCTGAGCTTTTCAAGAAGTCTTCTCTTTCTAAAACTTGGCATTCAGAGAAGACTATCAAGCACTGTTAGCCTTGCAATGAAATTTGAGTCAGTGTAGCAGCCTCAAGGAATTTGTCTGAAATTTCTAGCCATTGTGAATTGTAAGGAACGTTTCAATGAGAAATCTCTTGAGAAACCTGTATACCCTGGGGAGTCCTGCTACTTCACAGTTCTGGGCAGCCAGCGAATTGTGATGAGTGCAGTGTTTGCAAACTCTGCTCCCACTGTCAGCTGGAACTGTGAGTTGCACAAGCCAGTGGCATGCATGGGAAGATGTTACACAACACTTTCAGACCTCAGAGGTTCTGCATTTCATGCCATTCTTGGGCAAAGGTTGGGTCCACTATTTATTTTATCTGGAGAGGAGGTGCTTTTTACTGTGGCTACTGCGTGAAGGCAAAAGCATGTGGCTGGGATGTTTTTGGGAGGTATGTCGTAACATGGTGTGCCGTGTCTGGTGCGTAGAGAGCTGCAGATCCCAGAGGGACTGCGTGAAGTTCCCTCAGAGAATTGGTCTGCAGGCTGTGCCGGCCATATAGCATTCGGCTTTTATGTAGAATTTATGAAAGGGTAAACAGTATTATAAAGCTGTGGCATGAAAGCCTCAATTTCAGATCAGTAAACTGAGGCACACCATGGCTGCCATCAGCTCAGGAGGTCAAAAAGTCAAAAAAAAAAAATCTCATCAGACTGATCCTTGTGTTCTCTCTGTTACCCAGTGTCAATAGCTGAGCTGTTTGTGGATGCCCAGGAGAGGCTGGTTTGTCTGTGTCTTGCTGTCATCACGCACTCTCTGTAGTATGTCCTCCCAGGAAAATGTCACTCATTTAAAATAGTGATCCTCCTGTTTAAAGCATGTTTTATACTGTGAGAGCAGGTCAAACAGCAGACACTTTTGATTAATGAAACACCAAGATAAAGCAAAAAACCTCACATGCCTCAGTGGGAAAAGGTATAAAGGACAGACGTTCAGTGCTATTCAGCATTTGGGGGAGGGGGTGGAGGCGGGGGGTAATGAGCAGGAATGATCATACCTAAAAAGACAGCCAAAGCCAATGCTTGCAATTGCCAAGGCATCAGCCAAAAGGAAAACACAACTCTGATCGCAGAGTAAATTCATGTATGAGTCATGATGGGCCAAGAACAAGTTTGCTTTCTTTTCCCCCTCATTGAACAGATGATGATTATAAGATAAATCATGCTTGGAGTCAAATCAAGTGATTGGATTAAAGTTTAGTTAAGTATTTAGAGACTGTTTGGGACACAATGGAAAGCTAATTGAAAACTTACATTTGTGAGACCCTTGAACTCTCCAGCTCTTAATAAAATACTACTGCAAAGTACACCAGGGATCCCTGTGGGAAAGATTCCTCTCCACAAGTGCTTTTATTCCTCAGGTATGTAAAAAAATGGTATTCATTTTCTCTACAAGTTCACCAAAGAAAAGAATTTTCATGATCATAATTCAGCTATTGCTCATGATACAGTAACAATCTATTCATCTCACTGAAAATCAGTGAAGCGAGGCAAAGAAAAGTCACTTCTTTAAAAAATGAAGTTTTAAACACTTCATTCTTTTAACTAGTCTTTGCTCTTCTGAGCAGCTGGTATTCCAGCGTGACTGGCTGCCTGCACTGGGCTGAAGTGACTCTAGAGTCTTATGAACTATGTAAAAATTCCTTCTGGATGTGCTGTTGTAGGAAATGTCATGCTTTATTTGTACTAATAATATAATTGCATTCTGGAATCACCCCCAGTTCTTAAGGAACATACCCAGCCTCCCCAGCTTCAAAGTACTGTCCTTTTTGGTGGAAATACCAGTGAAACCCACAATGAAAGAGAACAAACTTCCTCATGTACACACACAAACACACAGAATTGCAAAAGCAGTGCTGGTTCTTCATTTAGCCACTTTCTTGATAAACCTCATCATTGAAGTAAAGCTGCAGAAACTCTGCAGTCAGGTTCATTTGCCCCCTTGCACTTTCTGGCTCTTGTAGATTATTTACCTGACTTTTTACTGCCTCAGAGAAGTGGGGATCCAACAAGGCATTTTGCAGCCAGAGCCTGCATGCTACACGTCATTATATTAGAGCAGTCTAGCTCTCTTATAAGCCAACCCTATCCAAGCTCCTAGCAGCAGAACTGAGAAGCAGGGGTGTTTAACAACCCTCACGAGTGCAGATCAGATCTGAAAACCCACCATCCAGGATGGCTTCTAGGGTAAGGAAAGGTGCTGCCCTCAGCCTGCATCACTGCAGGTCCTAGCCAGACTGTTGAGTTTTGTGGACCAGTTGACCCCAAAAATAGGTGATGAATGAGTCCTGAGAGGAGCACATTAGAGCTGTCTTCCCCTCTGTGTGCAAGAGAATATATTTCTCTAACTAGCTTAACCTTTAGAACAGCTTTTCTGCAAAAGGATGTGTGAGCAGAAACCATAGCTGAATAACTTAAGTATAGAAGGTTTGGGGGAGAATGGGAATAAGTTATTTTCAGATGATGAATATAAATTACTTTTCAGATATGCTTTTCAGATCATCACAGCTAAACCTAATGTGAGTGTGACCAGCTGGTTTAGCAGGTGTGATGCTCATGTGATCAGCATAATTTAAAATATACTCCCTGCACCTGCCCAACTGTGATTGGAAGGGGGGAAAAGTTGCTGCTCCATTGCTGAAGATTTAGCAACCAGAGTCTGCTACTCAATAATGACTGAAATCAGTTTTGTGTTCATGTCTTTTTGCTGAAATAATACAGCTATAAACATGGAGTTTAATATTGGTCATAGCCATCCAGTTCAGTCAGAAGCAACGCAGTAGCACCAGAGAATCAGGTATGTTGCACTAATTAATTAATTAATTAATTAAACTCTTTGAAAAAATCCCAAATCCTCAAAACAGGATATTGACTCTGTCTGTTTTTCTGCTGGGTAGTGTGGCTGTAGAGGGCTTCAGGAAGCCATGCAACCCTTCTTCTTTCCCTAACACATGACCCATAGCGCTTTTCAAGTTTTTCCCACAGCCTTTTAGTTACCTATGTCCTTAGTATGGCTCCCATTCGCTTTTCTACATAGATTATGTGTCCTCGAACTCCTGCCATTCCCTTTCCTGGGCTACTTTTCAGACCAATGGGTCATGTAGTCACAGATGAGGAAGCTGGTAGCAGGAACAGTCTAACTTCTGTGACTCCAAGCTCTACACAAACTAACTCACCTTTACCAAGATAAGCCTGGGTATTTCTATAGTACATGGCTTTGTGCAGCTTGGCCATATCTGCTGCATTGGACTGCCATGAAGGTAAAGATAAGCATGGTTTGGGACTAATTAAAGTTACTAACCTGGGTTAAAATCTAGTTTGTTGAAGTGTTTACTTCATAGCCTAACAATTGGCTCCCATTGTTATCAATGGAGCAATGTTTATAGCGTAAGTATCTCCTATACATCAAATAAAATGAAAACATTAGAATAGTCATAAAGGTAGCCTTCTGATTGTGCTAATTAATGTCAATTGTGTGCATCAACATGGTAAGTTCACTGTGGTAGCCCTCAAAAGCTAGCCTAGCATTTGCAGTTTCTTAACAGCTGTATCTTGTTCATCATTAGAAAGCTTTATTATGACTTAGAGTGATTAATGTGTTCTGGGAGGACTGGGTAATAGCTGTAGGACACTCCTTGGTGGATTAGAGGAAGGCAGATCAGAAAGATGAATATGTTTCTATTCACTGTTGCAGATTCTGAGACGTGTCATCTCGGTGCTGAGGAATGTGCATTGGAGGCAGTGCTGGAGGTGACACTGTTTGTTGCTCAAGGTCAGTTGCATGCATAGAACTCTGTGTGGAGCTGCCAAGAACATGCTAGAGTGAGGAACATTTAGAAGATGGGGAAAGCCAGCTGCTGTGGGGGTGGTGGTACTTGCACAGCCTTGGGAAGAAGTGGGAAAGCTGTGTGTTGCAATGTCAGAGATGACATCTGCATGAATGAACATCCTCTTATTTGGGAAACCTGTGGTTTGCGCTGATTTCTTGTCTGAGTTATGATGGGAAGGTGCAACACAAATCATCCAGTGATCATCCAATCTGCACTTGGCCACACTAGGAAACAGGGACACTTTGCTTTGTACATATGTTGGCTGGGTGATGTGACTAGCTTAATTAGAACTCACTGGAGTCAAAATCGTAACAGTCTGAGAAACGCTGTCTCTTCCTCATAGTATGGCTGGTTATGGTTATGAAGCATGCTGCGCCTGCTTCATCCATGGACAGATGCTCACTATGCCTGCACTGACTCTTCTTGCTGCTGCAGTTCTCCCTTTGGCTCTGCCAGCAGATGTGTCACTGTTCTCAAACCTGCACCCCTCCCAGATCAGGAGGTAGGAACAGAGTGGACTTTGGTGTGCAGCCTCTAGCTTCTTGCTTTCATTTCAGCAACCATGGGGTTTATTTAGCAGAATAGTTACTCCAACTAAAACCAGCGAGTCTCAGGGTGAAATATGTGAATTGACTGAGCTCATGGGGTTAAAAGCATTGTCTTACATGTGAGAAGAGCCCTCGCTGGGGGAAAATGAAGAGGGTTTTTGTTTAATCCACTCAAAAAAAGGACACCTACTTACTTTATTCACAATGGTCAGCATTTCCTCAGTTTGGAGAGCACCTCTTTTTGTCCGAAATAGAAAGCTGAACGTGGACTGAGACACAGCAACTCCAAGTAACAGCTGTAAGCAGGCCTGGGAGTAGCTTTGAAGTCCCTTGTGTCTGAGGCTATGATACCTCATAATGTGGCATTTTATCAAATAACTTGTAGGTCTCTTTTCACTACTACTGCTGAATTTGATGAGATAGCCTGTCTGGGTGCTTTGGCTAGCAGCACGGGCTGCATTGGGTGTCATAAAAAAGGTATGCATGATTTCAGGCTCTCCTCCCCTTATGGGTCTCTCATCTCCTCTATTTTAATGAAAGTAGTAATAATTATAACAGTAAGATGATATGTGTTATCCTAAGGGCCTGTACACTGAGTGGTAAGCCAGGAGCCTCTGTGTCCCACTGAGAGCTCTTCTGTCAACTGCTGTTAATATTTCTGCACTCTCTGCAGCTCTTATGGTTAGCAAACCTCCATGAGAGGGAAAAGAAACTCCTCCAGCTACACGAAGAAAATACAACCAAGAAGCTGAACAGGATCACATTAGGTGGAGTCTAGGGACATAGGGCTCTGGATGGATGCTAGGAGGACAGCACGAATCTCTTCTTCCTTGCCTTTTAGAGCAACTGTATTCGATTACATGTTGCGCAAGCTCCTTCTGGTTTGTTTTTCCCCTCTAAAAGCTAGGGCAGATGTTGTGTTATGAGGCTGTGGTGGCCTCTAGCAAACATCCCTGGGCTGTATTTCAGGTCTAAATCTCGCACTTTGGGGCTCTTTTTTGGTGGCGGGCAAGCGACTGAAGAAAAGGGAACCAAAGCTATTAGACATCTTTGCTACCCAACAAACACCCTATGCTTTGCTTCTGGGGGTTCGTACTCTGCAGAATAAAATAAAATAAAAGTGGTTTGAGAGAAGTGAGATATGGGACCAAGGGACACCAGACCTCCAAACAAGCTATGAGAAAGAGAGAATGAAAACCAAGGGAGCATCTCCATGGGAAGTGCAACAGGGTAAAAACGAGAATATTGCATGGTGCTAATGTGTGCTTGTCTTTGGGGAAAAAAGTCTCCTAGCTGCAGGAGTACAGAGTTAGTGCTGTATTCACAGGAGTCTTTGAGAAAGCAAAGCACGTGTGCTGGCCATTTCCTCAAAGAAAATATTCTTTGTGAATGCTAATAATTTTAGCAGGGATTCTTTTCTTCCTCTTGAGGAGAGTTAAATGAAGTTGTGGGTCAGTGAGAGGGCATCTGTACAAAACAGAAGCAGAATTTCCAAAGCTTGAATGTAGTCCCTTCATATGGAGAAGACCTGGTCAAATTGGCTTTCCAAAACTTTTTCTTTAATAAAGATTTTATGAGTGCATTTTTGCTGGTTTGCAGAGGCTGTTAAACCACTCTGAATTGGTAGGACTCAATAGATGGAACTAATAGAAAGCTTAGGAAAGTTTTAACAATTTTCCTTTCACAAAAGTGAGCTTGCCAGTAGCTTACACTGTGCCTGTCTATCTTCCTTGACAAAAATATTGTGCAATTTCCAGGTGTGAGTGGCATTGTTCTCCTCTCCAACTCATAAAAGAGTATTGCTGTCTAGGCTCATTAAATACCAGCACAAGCCCAATGTGCTACCGTCCTTCTGCATTTATATTCTTAAGATCACCCAAAATTCCTGTCTTCTCCGATATGAGTGGCAACCCTCTGAGCTAATTCACCAATAACGTTCAGACCTCCTGTGCGTAGGAACTGGGCAGTCCATAGATCTCTTTTGGGCTGTATTTTCCTCACTCAGAAATCACTTAAAATTGGAGTCAAAGCTGGATGAGGACTGCATGTTCATAAAGGAAGTTAAAAACTAGCTCCTGAGTCTGTTGTTTCCTTGATTGAAGGAACCCTTGAAAAGGTCTTGGGTTAAAAAAAAAAAAAAAAAAAAAAAAGACTCCATGATGGCAGACTATGGCCTGAAAGCTGAAACTGGTCTTAATGTCTATGTATACAAAGAGTGTAGAGCATGAAAAAGGGTGTCCAGTGAGTGGCTGCAGGGCTTTATAGTCTGCCTGATCAGGTCTCCACTGGGCCATGCTTCTTTGTGTCCTGGTTTTGAAAGCCTGATTTCCTGAGAGATTGCGTGATTATTATTTTTCAAACTAAAATATTTGGCTGAATGAAAAGGCATTTAAAGTAAAAAATAACTGTGTGGCAGTGCAAATGAGATCACTGAGCGGTTTGCTGGAAATGCCGTACATTGCGTTGCCCAAAACTTGGCATTTATGAAAGTGACCAGCAGGGAGAAAACAGAATCGTTCTCATGGCCTGTGTCAATATGGATCATAAAGCCACGCCGCGGATTTGGCATCTCTGACGGAAATGAGCGTCTTTCCAGTCCGGTACAATCCCGCTCCACAGCGTCACTCAGTGCGTAGATTGGGTTTGCAGAGGATTGACAACTGGGTGGGACAGCATTGCATAAGTCTGCCTGCTTTTTCGTCTCGGATTAATGATCTTCAAATCTGGTTTTCAGGGACACAGACTCACTCACACGTAAATAAAAAACAGAGGGAAGCTTTTAAAAGACTCAGATGCTTGGTATTTCGAGCAACAGCTAATGCAATGCCTTGTTAAGAGAACAAGACAGTCCTTTTGCATTTTACCTTTTTGCTATGATAACTCTCTGAAAGTAATCAAAGATGCTTTTCACACTGAACTCTTGTGCTTCAATTTCTGGACTGACATTTCAGCCTCACTTCATCATGCCCCTGCAAAAGACAGGTGTCTCTGAAAGGTGGCATGGGTTGCCCTAGGTCTGAACCAATCCCTGGGGAAACTGTCTATCACTATCAATGAAACCTAGGGCAGCTCCCTTCCTTAACTTAGCTGTTGTAGAGAGGTGTCCGTAGCTGGGCAGGATAGATCCAGGGCTGAGTTCATGCAGTTCTGAGCAGCTGTGGTTCAGAGAGGATGCTCCCATGTGGAGGTGCAGCAGGATGAAGCTTGTACAACAAAGGTAGAGAAGGTGAAGCTGTGTCACACGAGCTGCCTGAGTTTGATATTTCACGAGCTTTTGTTGGAACCACCCCACCTGGTCTGTCAGGCTGTGCCAGCACCGCAGGCCAAGATTCAATAAAGTCGTTTTTTCCAATTATAAACCATTACAGCTATAGAAACCGAGAACCCCACATCTTGGCAGAGGATGGACTCAAACACCATTTCAATGCAGTAACAACATTAAAGCCCCATCCTGTTCCCATTGAAGTTGGTGGCAAATCTCCCATTGACCTCAGTGGGAGTGGGATCAGGCCTCCATACATAAACACAGTTGGGATAGATTCAGCAGGGTCTTATTCCTGGTTTGGGCCATTTGGGGCCTTTGGATGTCAGCGGTGCTTCCACTGAGTCAATGCTGGTGGAGTGGTGTTGTGGATCAGAACCGGAATTTCATCTAATCAGTGCCCTGTGGCTCTCCGCACGTTTATCAGACGGAATTTCAAGCAAAAAACAAAGGGATTGAAAGGTTGAAAAACAACGAAGGAATGTGCACTTGGCAGCTCTGCTAACCAGATGTTTGTTTCTTTTTCCTTGTTCTTAACAATGACTAAAAAACTCGTGAACATTCTCAAGCCCAGCGCAAGGTCAGTCTGAAACTAGGTAAGAGGTGTCGCAACAAGGCGGAACGAACATCTGGGAACGGACAAATGTTAATTTATACCAGGATCCAGCTCTGTGGCTCAGAAAATGTGGCCGAACCTTCAGAAGGCTGGGTACATGTGTGCTTTCCCTTCCCACAGCAAGCCCCATCGATCGTGCGAAACTCTTGCGGAAGTTTGCAATATTCCCTTTGTGATGTTGTGTGAACTGCTTCCAAGAGCAGCGCAGAAAAAGGCGGTTGAGCTGTTGTGCTGGAGTGTGAGCAGAAATAAGCCAATGTTAAAGCAAATATGTATGTACATATAAATATATGCATCCATTTCCTGGAAAATGTGTACTTCAGGAATGGGTCTGCAAGCTGAATGTTGTACTTCGTGCAGCTTTCAAGGGAGAGAATAACGCTCTTTGTTGCAGCATTAGTCTTATTAAATAGCATGTTTCATTATCTTGCAAGAGGTCTCTTTCTGAGGAATCCCTAGCTGTTTTTGACAAAATCAATCCAAAAAGGACTGGGTGGGAAAGAGCAATATAATGCC